AACACGCATTGATGAACTGTTTGACTCTGGCAGCGACTGAACCATCTAAACGTGGGTGGCCCCTGTGATCCGCCCAGTCCGGGGGGTTCTTGGGGTTCATCGGTGCCGGAGACGGTCGGAGTGCTGGTATAACAGGACAGGCGGGTTCCGGATAGTAGTTCAGAAGACGAAAATGCGACCACTGTGACAAGAAATTTATTGGCCTGAAATTTCGAATTCTCCGTCGAATCCGCCAGAGAGTGAGAATCCGAAACGTCAGACCAATAAATTTCGTGTTCCAGTGATGGCATCTTCGTCAACTTGACGCTCGTAGTGCCGTAACACGGCAGCATCGCACTGTAAAGCTTCGATAGCCAGCGCGAAATCTCAATTGGCCGCCGCTCATTTACATATATTGAAGCATACCATGACTGCACGTACGCACAGGCTAACCCGGTCGCCCTCCCAACTCCCGCGGTGCCGTGCTCATTTTCGAAAGTTTCGGTCAAGGTATTAAGCTGGGCACCAAACCAAAGATGAGTTAAGGGATTATGGGTAAATCAGCGCACTACTTCCGAGTAGACCGCACCTATACGCGCATTTGTGTTCCAAATAAAAAAAATTTAATGCGTCACATTCTACCGGCTCCCCTTTGCGAAAAACTGAGGACGTCGACGACACTGCCGAACTCATAGGAGGTGAGAAGGTACTAGGTGCAAAAATCGCATTCTTGCCGCCTGTTCGTCGGTGTCAGTTCTTTTAACAAGCAGGCTATAAGATAATCAATGACGCTTACTGCCCCGACGACGGTCTGATAGACAGCTTAACAGAACTGCGTGCATGCGTGTGTGTTTTCGTGAAAAACACACTCGACAACCGCCAGCTGCGCCACACCATCACACCCTCCCTCCCTCCCTCACCACCACCACACCGCACACCAACACTCACCCATCACAAGCACCCAACTGCCACCTCACACGCAAATGAGAGGTGTGCATCTCGACTCGGCCTCAGTGCGGCTTCTGCTGCACGAGTAACTTGAGTCTGAGACTGTCCCGACGCGTCAAACGTCGTGGATAGGTAGGCTGCTGATTGACGCCCCCCTCGGTCCACGCAGTCCGTCTCGTTGTGTGCGTTGTGTGGAGTGGTGGACTGGTGGGCTTGGAGACGGGCTGAAACAGCACCTTCCACGACCATCTCACGAAAATGAGAAATCCACCGTTCGACCCCCATTGAGCGAAGTCCTGGTGTATGTGTGTCTGGGGGAGAGGGGGGGGCGGCTTGTACACGCGGTGTACGCAGACATGGTCAGTCGACCATGCCATCCACCGCTTCCATTCCCCACTCCAGTCTGCTGACCGGCTCGGACAGAGGCTGAGGTGTGGGAATGGGAAGGGAGAGTAAGGTCGACGTCTCAGCGCATTTTCCTCACTATAAACAATCTGACGCGCTTGAATCTTTCACTGTGCGCTAAAAGCCGTGGCTTGGAAGGTTGCCAACTGACGGGGTACCTTGGACCTCCTCCTTCACGGGAGGCGGTCTGAGAGTCAGGCTGCAATGGCTCCTTTTTAATGTGGCCTTTATGGCATTCCCACCACAGTGTGGGATCCGAGCCAGGCGTCGGCGGCACGCCTAGGTGCGGCTTCGGTCGTGCCAGCCTCAAACTCTCTGTTATGTTGGTGAAAATCCTGGTTTTTTGTTGTGTGGACCAGGGGGTGTGGAGTGGAGCGCCAAGGTGAGGATCCGTCCAAGCCATCCACCTGCGGCATCCCTCGTCTCCGGTCTTCTTGACTCTGTCTTGACACCGGGCCCAGGCGAGGGAGGAGGAGAGAGTGTAGGCAGATGCTACGCAAGTCTACTGGCACTATAAACCCCTGCGTAAGTCACCGTCCCTGCTCCCACAATGCAGTCTGTGGGGCATACGATGGACATCGACGAAATCGAAGGTCGAACTGATGTGTGTTTGTGTGTGTGTGTGTTCACACTTAAGTGCATTCCCTGGTCAAATGGTCTGGAAGCGCGTTCTATACCAGAATCAGCAAACCATGGCCCTCGCAGCCTAGTATTCGCTGGCAGTTCCCTGACACCTAGTTTCCTGCTGGTAGACGCGCTTGCCCCCTCACTGAGTACACCGGTGTTGGGCCTGGCTGCCCAGGCAGCATCCTCGTCCTTCTGATCCCTGTTGGGTTGCTGTTGTTGACCAACTGTATGTTGTAGACGTCGGCGTGTGGGGGCACGCCTGGGCGCGTGTCCGGCCGTGTGAGTCACCTGCGCGCACCCTCGCCTTCGGTCTGTTTGAGTACGTTTTGACATGGGGTCCAGGTGGGAGAGAGGAGAACGAGAGAGCGCAGTAGGTACTGCGCAAGTCTACCATCTCTATAAACTAATTCGCGCGCAAGTCTCCTTTCCTGCCCTCACTCCGCTCTGAAGCACACGGTGGGCGCCGTCGGCCGCGAGGATCAAACTCTCGTGCGTGTGTGTGTGTGTGTGTGTGAATCATGCGAAATTTCGACCTTGTAAGCGATGTAGTCCGATGCGCGTTCCCCTGAAAGGACGCGGAATCGATGGGATGCGCGTGAATTAATTTACAGTGAAGCAGGCTTGAGCGCATCTACCGCACTCTTATTGCCCTCCCCCACCCTCCTCTTAGGACAAGACGACAAAAGGCAAGCGCGGAAGCAGGTCAGTTAGAGGCTCACGGCCTGCCTACGCTTGCTGAACGCGATCCGGTCATAGCAACGCGCTTCAGGGTGTAAAAAGGAGATCTCAAATCTCACATGAGGGAGAATTCCACATGGGCTACATTGCGAAGAAGGTATTTCAGACCCTTGAATATGCTCACCTTGAAGCACAGGGAATCCTGCAAATTGAGACTCCCCTACCCGCGACTGTGATAGATGCCAGTGAATCAAATTTACTGTGATGTGAATGGCGCTGATGTACGGAGGGCATGAATTCGCCTCCACTCTCGGCCACACTCTCTCATCGCCCTCCCGTGCGTAAGGTGCGTGTTGGAGCCTATCAAACATCTGGCTACTCCCAAAACTAAACCGTCCGTCTGCGAGTGTCACATCGCACCGGATTGTCGCGTTTTATACCCGCGTGCACAAGAACATGCAGTGAGTGACCGATCTCATGATTTGTTGGCTGAAATTCCGAAATATGTTTTCGACTAGGAAGTTTTACTTAGGTGAAGTCGAGGCATTCATTTTCATGGGACATTGTCCTAATATATTTAAAACTCGACAGAATGTAAGCTTTTGAATGTTTTACATTTTAATCTTCTGCAGCAACCGTCCTCGGTAAAAATGACTACTTAATTGGCTTTTATTTTTACACTTATTTTCGGTGGTATTTAAAATAGTTTAATAGAGAATTACCTCGTCTTTATATTTTATACTCGAAAGAGGAGTATAGTTAGGTTTGTAAAAGTTCCCTAATTCATGAATAATTTGGAGTCTGATCAGCCGTTGCATTAGCGCTTAGTGATTTCAGTCTACAAGGTGCATGCGTTCCCCGTTAATAAAATCCCATATTCTTATATGCCTTTAAAAAGATATCATATAGGATCTATTAAATTTTGCAATTAATGCGCAGTATGTTGTACATTTCATGAGGAGCAGTGGTAAACAGACAGGTACGATGCTGTATGAATGGGCATTGCACCGTCTTGAAAAATATCATTATTATAAACTCTTTCAAAACCTAATTATACCCCTTCTTAAAGCATAAAATATAAAGAAGATGTGATTCTCTATCAAATGACTAAAAGAAGGCATATTTTTCTTCGTAGTTTCTATAACATGTATTTGAATTTGCAAGACCATCGAAAATCGATGTGAAACATGCATGCAACTTAAGTAGTCGTTTCTTACCGAATAAGGTTTCCGCGGGAGATTTAAAAGCACTGCATTCAAAAGCTGACGTCCGACCCAATCCGAAACCTTATAGAATCTAGCTGTAAGGGAACCAGTTTTGCGAAATCGCTTAAGTAGTCCTTCCTAATCAACAAACGCATATCAGAATCTAGGCTGACATTTAATGAGATCGGTCACTCACACTATTTCTTTTTTAGCGGAATTTGCATATTCTGACATGCTATTTCTTGCCCTCCATCTCAGCTACAGCCAAGAAGATCGTCCGTTTTTTGATCAGTTAATATACTCTGAGAGCACAACTGAATAATACGGTCTAAGTTCAGAGGATGCATGATATTTGAGTGCACCTTGGCAGAAGGCAACCAATATCAGGTTCTACGTCCTTTTGAATCCAAATACCGCTAGGTAGCAACAAACGTGAAATTTGTACCAGAGGTAACGATGGCTGGTTGGCGGAGTATTTGCTCTTTATAGCAACCTGAAGGCTCGGGCGCTGGAGTGACAGTGCTTGGCCCACATACCAGATGTTCGACGGCCGTTGCCGACTATGTCTACCGTGTGCTCCGCATCAAGTTGAGAGCAGGGACGGCGACTCGCGCGTAATTTAGTTTATAGTGAGTAGTAGACTTGCGCAGAATCTACCGCACTCTATCCCCCCGCCTGGACAGAGTCAAGAAGACCAGAGACGGGAGACGGCGCAGATGGATGGCACGGTCGAGCCCGAACCTTGGCGTTTTACTCCAAACCCTCTTTTCCACACAGCAAATGACAAGGTTTTTGACCAACAATAAAATGCGGCTGGCACGACCGGAGTCTCACCTCGGATTGCCGCCATCGTCCGGCTGGGGTCTCACACAGTGCGAGTGCCATAAAGGCTGCATTAAGAAGGAACCATTGCAGTCTGACTCCCGCACCTCCAGCCGAGCACTACATACATATGTACAGCACTGGGCCGACTGCGCGATGCAAGTTATCCCGTCAGTTGGCAAACATCCAAGCCACGGCATTTAGCGCACCGTGATGGCTTAAAGTACGCCAGAGTGTTCCTAGTGAGAAAATGCGCTGAGTCCTCAAACTCGCGTCACCCAGAAGCCTTAAAAACCACGGTGATGGACGCACCGTGGTGGTTTCAACTCGGATCACTCAAGCAGCAGAGGAGCCGCGGGGATCCAGAATCGAGACGCGCAGTTCCCACTTGCGTTGGATGCCCAGTTGGCCCATGTGGTGGGCGAATGTGCGGGTGCAGTGAAGGCAGTTGAAGCGGATACGTCTGGTGTATGTTAGTGCTCCAGGCACTGGTTCGCCAGTCTCTGTGCGATGGATTCGCAAATGACCGGCCAGGCCGATGCGCGAGGTGAATGCACGCGGACAGAGTGGACAGGTAAAGTCGACGGTGTCGGCGTCGGTTTCGGAAATGGTGGAGCTATTGGTGGTGGAAGCGCTGAACCATGTGGTGTGGGTTTAGCTAGGCATGGTGGATATGTAGGAAGTAATTATGTGTGTCGAGGCTGCGGTCAATTCTGCTCTCGTAGATACGCATGTGACCGAATAGACCAGTGCGGTGAGTGAATGTGCGAGGGCAATGTGGACTGTGAAGACACATGCGGCGAGTGTAGGATCGTGCTTCAGACACGGGTTCGCCAGTCTCCGAGCGATGGATTCGCAAGTGACCGACAAGGCTGATGTGTGGGGTAATGGAGCGTTTTCAATGAGGAAAGGTGTGGATCAAGTCCATATTGCTTGTTTTTACGGTGGGTGTTTGGTGTTTGTTGTTTTGTCAGGATCGTGTGAGCAGGAACCGCCGTAGCGGAGGAGGAGGAGGGGGAGGATGGCAGTGAAGGTTCTGGAGTGCGATAAGCGTTAGCTTTCGTCGTGGAGGCTGACTTGGACGAGGAGAACGCAGCTGTTGTGGCCCGGACGCTGCTGTTGATACGACGATATCCCTCAAGGCCGATCGGTGCCCGAAACGCCCAAACGCAGCGTGAGCAGGTAAGAATCGACTGAGCGTTGACGTTGCGAGGTAGGCGCATCCGTGATTTGCGAGCTTCGCGTTCGGCTATGGCGGTAGTGATGTAGTTGGTTTTGTATATAGCTGTGCTCGCTTCACTGTCCTCTTCCATGTCGGTTGCTCTAAAACGAGGTCTTCCCAGTTGGCGGGGTCGATCTGCAGGAACTTCATGGAAGTGTTCAGAGTGTCCTTGTAGCGACAGGCTTGACCTCCTTGTCGGCCGGAACGCGTGGCGATATCTCCGTAGAAGAGTCGTTTGGGTAGTTGCTCATCATCCATCCACACGAAGTGGTCATTCTAGCGCAGTTTCAACTGTTTCAGCATGGCGTAGATGCTGAGGATCCAAGTCCACTCCAGTTTATCTGTGCCCGCGATCCGGTCCTGTCATCTCAGCTTCATTGCCCGTCCAAGACAATTGAGGTGGAAATGATTGAGTCTCCGCGACTGCTTCTTGTATATCGTCCAGGTCTTTGCCCCATACAGCTGCGTCGGTAGAATGACCGCTTTGTACATCTGCCGTTGGTGGTGAGGTGGAGACCGTGGTGATTCCAGACTGTGCCTTGAAGACGGCCGAAGGTTCTGCTGGCTTTGGAGATCCAGCGGACCACCTAATCGTCGATTTTGGTGGTGCGGGAAAGGGTGCTGTAGGTAAAGTTTTTTTACCACTTGCAGTTGGGCGTCGTTCACGTTGATTTGCAGTGCGACGTGAGCAGCGTCGGGTGGCGGTTGATGCACAACCACCGTATTCTCCGTGTTGATGACCAGACCGAAGTTTTCGAAGGCGGCCTCGAAGAGATCCATGCTCCTTTTCTTGTCCCTTTCCGAGGTGTCGTTGAGGACGCAATCGTCGCGAAGACAAGTTCATGGGCAGTCGTATGCAACTGAAAGTGCATCCGCCGGTGGTTGAGGAGTTGGCCGTCCGTCATGTAGGCGATGCGGATCCCGGGACGTTCGTCACGATATATGTCCAACAGCATGGCAGTTGGGTTACGTTCACACTGATCTGCGGCGCTTTGGGGGAAAAGGCTGTGTTGGGTGGCGGTTGATGCATGACCACCGTCTTCTGCGTGTTGATGACCAGGTCGAAGTTCTCGCAGGCGGTGGAGAAGAGGTCCATGCTTCTTTGCATGTCCTCTTCCGAGGTGGTTTTGAGGACGCAGTCGTCGGCTAAGAGGAGTCCGTGAACGATGGTTGTGAATACGCGCGTTTGGAAGTGCATCCGTCGTTGATTCAGGAGGTGACCGTTCGTCCTGTAGGCGATGTGAATCCCGGGGCGTTCATCACGGTAGGCGTCCATCAGCTTGGCAGAGAACATAAGAATGAGGAGGGTGGGAGCGAGGGCGCAGCCCCGTTTCACTTTGTCGGTCACTGCGAACGCCTCTGAGATAGATATATTGTCCTTGACGCGCGGCCATCATGCAATCGTGGAACTGGCGTGTCTTTTGAGTGAATCGTTCGGGACAGCCAAATTTCTGCATGATTTTCCACAGTCCGCCAGGAGTCACCGTTTCAAAGGTTTTCGTCAGATCCAAAATTCTTCCCAGATATGTTGAGCAAGGAAATGCCTCGGTTGCTGTCCTAGAGTTGGCGATTGTCCTTCCGCTTATATAGATGTAAGACTTTGGCGTCCTTGAAATCCTGCGGCACTTCTCCTTCACACCACATCTCCTTGAAAAACGCCGTCAGATGATCCATGAGTTGGGGGCCACCGTGCTTACGGACCACCGTCGGGATCGCATCCGATCAGCGCGCTTTCCCGTTGGGGAGCTGCTGCACGGCCCTGATGGTTTCGCGGAGAGCTGACCGGAGATCGAAGTCGACGTTGGTCTCCACTCGCGGCAGACGGGCCATAGAAACGTCGTAGGTGGTAGAGGGGCAGTTGAGGACGGGTCTGCAGTGCTTGACCCATCGCGGAAGAATTTGTATCCATCGTTGAGTAGGGTAATGCCGTCGGCACTGAGGAGAGGAGCATTTGCTTTGGCTGTGGGACCGTAGACAGCTTTGATCGCGAAGAAGAAATCCTTCCATTCGTCGCGATCCGCGTAGTGTTGGATATCCTCGGCCATGCGAGTTGTCCAAGCGTGCTGAATCTCCCGCAGCCACTGTCGCACAAGTCGGTGGCTACGGCAGTAGGCTGCTTTGTTGTCATCGGTGGGGCGGCCGACGAAGGCTTTGTGCAGGCGGTTATTCTTGTCGAGCAGGTTGCTAATGGTGACGTCGTTGTCATTGTGCCTGTCCTGATGTCGGCGTCGTGCGTGACCGAGAACAGCCGGGGCCGTCGAATGGGCTGTGTCCCGCAGTTTACACCACTGCGGTTATATCAAGAGCGGCGGCAGCGGCGACTGGAATGTTGGCTAGCCGTTGAGCCAATTTATCGCTAAAATGGAGATGTTGAGCAGACAAAGACAGTAAAACAATATTCAGCTTACCTAGGGGTCGCTTATCTTTGGCGTCTCCTATGGGGCCGTAGGCGAATCCGCAACTGCGAAATGACGAGACGATGATCGGCCCACCCGTGGGAACACGGGATCGCCTTTGTCACCAGCACGTTCCGCTGGTCTCGCTTCCGCACGAGGACAGAGTCCAACAGGTGCCACCGTCGAGACCGAGGCTGGATTCATGTGACCTTTTCTCGCATCGGGAGGTGAAAGCAGGTGTTCTTCAGGATGAGCCGGTGTTCTGCGCAGGTTAGTAGGAGGAGCAGTCTATTGCCATTGGTACCGTCGAGACCATGGGGACCCAGCACACCTCTCCAGGCAGCATGGTCTGTGCCGACGATGGCTTTGAAGTCGTCAAGTACAATCAACTTATACTCCTTCGACACAGGCGCCAGGAAAGCGTGCAGGTCCTCGTAGAATTTGTTCCTGGCCTCGTCGGGCCGGTCATCGGGGGCGGGTGCGAAGACACTGGCGATTGTGGCGAAGTTGCCTCCCTGGGAAGGCAGACGGAGGCTCATCCGGCAGACAGGGCCGTCGTCCCACGATGTCATTCCGGATGGCAAAGGCGATGTGTGCATCCTGTCACTCTACCCAAGGGGCGACCGTTCCAGAAGAGGGTACAGCCGACACCCACCTCCTCCAGTTGGCCTTGTTCGGAGAACCGGGTGTCACTGAGTGCAGCGATGTCCACCTTGTAGCGCGCCACTTCCCGAGCCACTAGCGCCGTCCTCCGTTTCGGTTCGTTGCTCCTTAGATTGTCTAAAAGGAAGCGAACATTTCGGGCTGCCAGAGTTAGCGGATTCACCCTACCAGTCTGGCGAGTGGGAAGGCGGAAAGGAGAAGAGGGAAGAGAGAGTGCGTTGTTTCTGTTTGATTGTTTTTTATCATGTGTTTTGTGTCTCAGGCCACGGTCAGCCTGCGGACGGCGTGTTTCCCCAGCATTTGTCTAAAGCAATTTTTCTAGCGCCTTCTTCTTCGCGGGAGTGAGCAGTGCTCTCACTGAATAGGGCTGCACAGTCGTCCCAGACGGCCGCCTAACTCCATTATGGGCCTACGGCTTTTGTTTAATGGGAAAACGACTTGATTTAGTCTGAGAATGCCTACGACATCGTCGTAGGGCTAGGGGGAGGTTAGACAGACGGGCTGCAGAGCTTTCCTGTCCTTCTCTATGTGAACTGGTTACTGAAATAAATAAGCGGTAAACAGGCATATTCAAGGGAAGGGCAGTTGGAGTACAGCATATGCAAAAAGAAATATGCAGCCGAAAGGCAGACAAGCAAGAACAAGCAGAAGCAAAGGCAGACAGAGGAAATTCACCGGAACGACATTTAGCTCACAACAAGGACGACCACAAAAAATGGAGAGAATCACACAAACCATAATGAACAAAGTAAAGACGGCAGAGCAACGTCCGCTTACCTGAAGGTTCATTTACCTTGTGGTCTCGTACCAGGCGGAGCCTCGTCTCGTCTGGTGATCCATACGGCCAGTGAAGCCGAGATCAGCGTGTGCGGGGATGCACGCACAGATACCCTCACCTAGTTTAGCCCGCCGATCGAGGCGGTTACTGGGGTGTGGCCGCTGAGCAGAGCCCAGCTTCGGGTAGTCACAGGTGAGAGCTGGGTGCCGGCAAATGTACTTTAGGCGTAGTCTACACCTGCAAGCAAGTGGACGACCTACAACGACCGCCACGTGGACCCACAGCCGGGCAGCCCTTCATCCCGCCCCACATACCACGTCTGCCTTGACGATCAGTCCGAGTGCATGCGAGTGTAGGTAGGGCGCGAGAGAGAGAGAGAGAGAGAGAAGAATCGATGTCAGCCACGGTGAGCTTCGCCAGTTTCTCGGCCACAAGGACAGTGTCTCGACAGTGGAAGAAAACCAACGTCTGAAGCCAAGGCACTTTACTTAGTAAGGATCTAGCATTAACAACGAAAAGATTCATAGGGGGGAGGCGCGAACGCACTGGACTCTACCTTTGATCCAGACAGCCGTTTATATTCGCTTGGAGTTACTAGTGGGGTGCCAGTATTGCCTGCGGTCTGTTGTTATGTTGGGCTTCCACGAACGGCTGCAGTAGCATTCTCCCCGGAACAATTCAACCTGTAAGACAATGCGGGCGCGGTTATAATTAGTTCAATAACATAGAAAGGATTACAAATGAATGTAAACTTGCAAAACTTTAGACATTTTAATTTCTCCTGCTTGGATCAAGAGATAAAAGATATGTCCATTCAGCAGGACTCTCTTGTTCTGTCTTTTATCGACAGGGTGAGGTCATTTCCCTGTGAGTAAAAATTAGGCCCACCCCCATTATGGGACCATTACGAACAAACGAGCATAGTAGTTATTATGCGTGAACTGAATACAGAAATAACATCTCCCAGAAAATGACTGGAAGAAAACAGATCAGAACAGTAAATATGGCTCTTCGGTAAGGGGGAATATGGCCTGAACTTTATCGGTTTCTTGATTGCACAACTCACTGCTCACAAAGGCGGTGGATACATGCAATAACAATGTCACAGGTACTTCTTGGATCTTTATTTGGAGTTTATCTGAAACCTCACTAGAAAGTGCACTGATATCGCTAATAGCAGTGTATTTTTAAGTGAACGAAGTGTCCAAGTACTCAGTAATAACAAGTCAGTTTTTGGACTTTGCTGGAGTGTTACATCTAGAACCCTTGAAATAACATGGCCGATGGCCTCCGTAATTTCTGTTCCATTTTCGGCCCGTAGAGCTTTAGGAGAAGGTAAACGTTGTAGTCCGTGCGCCGTTTTTCCCTTCTTTTTGGCATGCAAATGCTCTAATGCGAATCCGCGTTTATAAACCACTTCTCAAAAATGCTATTCGATACGGTTTGGAAGGGTAAGAAGAGAGTGCACAACGCTTATATAAAGCCTTGGACATTACTACGCAGACTCACGAAAGAGCATTCGAAGAATTCACTCGAATTTGCAATCGGTACTTATTTCACCTCAATGAGCTTCTGATGTGCAGGATTTCAAATGTTGTCAGGGGGTTTTTGGAGATTACCTGCACGTGAGGATTTCAAGCTCGTTAGGGTTGATTTTTATTGCTTTAGAGAAGACCACAGCTGTGACCACAGGACAGAGAACTGACGAACCTGACAGAAGAAAACTTATATAACAAGTGACGGAAGCCCAGCGCATTTCACCTAGTATCAAATCCCACCACGGATTAGCGTTAATATGGTCAAAAAGGTGAATTCAACTACGGTCTTGACAAAAACCGGGAGTGCATGAGTATAGCAGGTCATTTCATGATAATATACACATCATCTGCGTCGGTGTGGGGGCATGGAATGAGTCGAACTCATGTAAGCCTTTATGACGGCCAGAGATACTGCGTTAGGTCAGCGCCAAGATGGTTCGAGTCTGTCCTCATTGCCCGTGCATACTTTAGCAATGCGATCCTCCTTTCCCCTATCTCTGCTCCTACGAATAAAGCAGATTTACTTAATCCGTAAAAATTGGGGTCGTACAAGCTCCTTAGTAGCCTTCGAATCAAGACTGCAAATATTTCGCCCAGCTCGTCACGTCTGTGTTCCTGCTTGCTTTTCTGCAAAGATCTGCAAAAATTGGGCCCAAAATCTAAGTAAAAACAGCAGTGCGTGACCTATCTCAAAGAAATGTTGGCTGAAATTCTGAAATGCGTTTTCGATTAGGAAGGATTACTTGGTCGCGGTTGTGATACTGATTATTTTAAGGCATACTCTTATAACATTTTAGACTTGGCAGGATTTCGGCTTTAAAATGCACTTCTTTTCAATCTTCTGTAGAAAGCGTACTCGGTAAAAAAATGACTACTTAAGTAGCATGTATTTTTCCCATTTATTTTCGATGGTCTTGGAAATTCAAATATATTTTACAGAAACCACAAAAAAAAGTGTGCTTTCTTTTCGTCAATTAAAAGAGAATCACGTCTTCTTTATATTTTATACTTAAAGAAGGAGTATAATTAGGTTTTAAAAAAGTTTCTAATTATGAGGCTTTTTAAGACCACGAAATGTCAATTCACATAGCATCGTACCTGGCCGTTTGCCACTGCTCCTCATGAAATGTGCAACATGGTCCGTGTCCATTGCAAAATTTTATGGACCTTGTATGATATCTCTTTAATGACATGGAAAAATATGGGATTTCCTTTGTACGGAACGCATGCCCCTTGTAGAGTTTAATCATTAAGCGCTAATGCAAAGAATGATCAGGCTCCAAATTGTTCGGCAATTAGAAAACTTTTTAAAACCTAATTATACTCCTTCCTTAAGTATAAAATAAAAAGAAGACGTGATTCTCTATCGATTGACTGAAAGAAAGCCTATTTTTGCTTGTGGTTCCTATAAAATATATTTGAATTTCCAAGACCATCGAAAATCAATGGGGAAAATGCATGCTACATAAGCAGTCATTTTTTTACCGAGCACACTTTCTACAGGAGATTAAAAAGAACTCCATTTAAAAGCCGACCTCCTGCCGAGTCCAAAATGTTATAAGAATATGCCTCAAGATAATCAATATCACCACCGCGACCAGGTAATCCTTCCCAATCGAAAACGCATTTCAGAATGTCAGCCAACATGTCATGAGATAGGTCACGCACTGTATAATTTGAACCGCCCTTCCTATGTAGCTCAGTTGTCACGACAGTGAGGCTGGAGTAAGCAGTCATTCCTGCTCAAACTCGCTTGGTCTCTGCTGACACTGTGGCACGACTTACGACACGCCACCCGCCTCACACGAGGCATGCGCGGCAGATGACTCAGCTGACAGAGGTCAGTCGATAACCGTGGTTTTCTCTTTCACAGCTGACACCTCAGGCAGCTGCTGGTGAACGGAACGATTCGCTGCAGCTGAGGAGTACGCGATCACTGCCAGTGAACTCCCCCAATCGGTCACACACACACGAAAATGGAAGAATTGCCGACACGTTGAGGACACTAATGGCATCCACCTACGGCGCATGCACAGGTAAGATAGCGCATTTTGACCGTTGTGACAGAAGGAAAAAAAGGTGACTTCTAGTGTCCGGCTACCTTGGGACACACAGACACACATTTCGTGGAAGTTCCATAGAGACTAGTTGCCGTTAGAACTAGCTGGAGTGTTCATCGATTATGACTAATCTAGTAGCTCTCTCTCAAGCATTTCGATCAGGCTGAAGACCTGTTACATTCAAGATGCCCAGACTTTACGTAAATACTTAACGTGCGGTCCTTGATATTTTGAAATAACGTTGGAGAAATGATATAATTCGAGACCACTCAAGAAACTTTTCATTGGTTTACTCGATGAAATTAAGATTCAAGCTGCCTTTTGGGAGTGGAAAGTTTTATTATGATCTTAATTTAAAATGGAGCTCCTTTTGAATTCCTGCTTGTGGTTGTAGAACACAACTCTATGATTAGATGCTTCGATTATTGTCAGTCTATGAAGATAACTACTGATTAGCAAACGAAGAAGTTCTTAATTCTTTCTGCTTATATTACTGGTAACATACAACTGCTATGAGGGTTCAATAGGTTAGAAGGTCTGGAAGCATGTGCTATGTCAGTATCAGTAAATCATGGTCCCCGCAGCCTGAAATGCGCTGGCAATTCCCTGACAACTAGTTTCCTGTCGATAGATGCGCTTGCGTTCCCACTGGGTATACAGGTGGTGGGCATGGCTGGCCAGTCATCATCGTCCTTCAGACCCCCGTTGGGGGGTTTCTGTTTTTGTTGTTGTTTCTTCTGTTATTGTTCAAAACCTGGTCATGTTCTGTGTGCACCAAGGGAGTGTAGAGTGGAACGCCAAGGTGAGGGCTCGACCGTGCCATCCATCTGCGACCCCCGCCACCGGTTTTCTTGACTCCGTCTTGACACCGGGTGCAGGTGGGAGGAGGAAGAGGGAGTGCGGTGGATGCTGTGCAAGTCTATTATCACTTTAATCTAATTCACGTAAAACCCCGTCTCTTCTCCGCCTTGCTGTGGAGCACACTCTTGACATCGTCGGCAACGGCGGTCAAACTATTATGGGGGTTTTAGATTGAGCCCAATGCGAAATGGGACGAACACGCTCCGTAACTCGGTCGGAGAACTCACCCTTATGTACGATAGCGTAACTTTCCGACAATACAACGGACCCATAGTTCAGTAGTGGAGCATTGAGCTTAACTCTCAGTGACCAAAGAGTCTTTCCTAGAATCTCAAACCATACAGGCCTGTGGTTGGATACGGCGAATGCCAGCAGCTAATGCACCAGAAGTCACCAACCCAGTCTCTCTTGTCTTTGCCAGTATTTCTTTATGTTCTTACTGATTTTAAGCCGGTTTATTCTGGTATACAATGCGATCGTCTTGTAGAGGTAAAGCTGAAGTGGCGCGTTCTTAGGGGTATGCCGCCGACATCCATTATGACCATATCTGGCGTCCCTGTTCAAGGTCTCACTGCGTCTAGGTCATTTACCCTCGCAACGAGTGGTTCCAGATGCCCTGATCTGCGACCACTCTACTGACTTAAACTCGGACTCACGTCGCCACTGCCCATGCAACTGAATATAACACAATCTCTTTGAACACCACCCCTCGGCAGATCCAGCGTGCACCGATTGGACACCACTTGAGCTTGTCCCAAAAAAGCAGCTGCCACCACTGTCTCAAACCGATTCTCAGGCTTGACTGGATGCAGTCAACATCAGTCCTGGCTTCGCCGCCTGACCACTGCCGCCTGAGAGGACAACTCAGGGTTCCGTTTACAACAAAATCCCTCATTCGATTGATTTGTGTCTTTGCATACAACAGGGGATTTCGCCAGAAGATTGCAGCTCTCTGAGAAATGCTAGAGGTTTTCTGCAGACAATGCAGCTTCTTGAGGGACGCTTGCAACCAGATCTGTCTACACCGGTAAAATCACGTTTGTAACCGGTGATCGTCCTTGACGTAGACGCAAACTACAGTAGGTGGGCTAACTCACGAAATGTCAACCGAAATTCCGAAATGCGTTTTCGTTTCAGAAAGACTAATTAAGTAGGGTTATAAGACTAGTCAGCCTGCAACATACTTCTATGCTATTTTAGTTACCTCAGGATGCCGGCTTTTGAGTGAACTTCCCTCCGGCTGCATGCAGATACTACAATCTTTAAAAAATGACTGCTTAAGTAGCAAGCATTTTTCTCATTGTTTTCGATGTCCCTAAATGTCCAATTATATTCCATGGAAAACATGCAAAAAATATTCATTCTTTTGTTCAATCGGTAGATAACTACGTCTTATAATTTTATACTCGAAGAAGGAATATAATTCGGCCTTAAAAAGGTCTCTGATTGTGGGACATTTAAACACCGTGAAATGGCCGTTCATAAATCGTCATGTCTGTGCATTTACTAATGTAACTTGTAAAGTTAACAATATGGATTAAATCCACTGCTGCATTTTATGAACCCTATATGGTCCCCGTTTATTACCGTAGAGAAATGTGTGGTTTTTCGTACGCGGAAAATATAGTGTTTGTAGTTTGAAAACCCTGACTGCAAGTGTAACGGCAGGTCGGGTTAAAAATTATTCGGGAATTGTATAAGTTTTTAAAAACCGAATTATACTCTTCCTTCGAGTATAAGATTAGGAGATGTAATTTTTTACGTGAAGTGCAAAAGATTGAATATTTGTATGCATATCTTCTATGAAATATAATTGAACATTTAGGAGCATCGGAAATCAATAAGAAAAATTCATGCAACTTAAGTTGTCATTTTTTACAGAGTGCAGTTTTTGCCTGCAGCCGGAGGGAAGTTAAATCAAAAGACGGCATTCCGAGGTAACTGAAATAGCACAGAAGTATGTTGCAGGCTGACTAGTTTTACAGCCCTAATTAATTAATCTTTTTGAAATGAAAACGCATTTCGGAATTTCGATTGACATTTCACAAGTTATCCCACCTACTGTAAAGGTTGTCTATTTCATCGCGTCTCTTTCGCTTGAAATTGGGTTATCTGATTACTTACGTCCGTCCGACGAAACAGCTCTATTTTACTGGTACCTTTTGCCTTTTCGTATTAGGACCTGCGAGGTTTGAACCTAACCTAAAGCGTTTATTCCGCGAGATTAATTAAGTCTTTTGGTGCCTCACACACACACAAATGACAAATGATCAACTACTGGGTTGGATAATTATCAACAAATAAGGTTATAATCGTCTGGTGAAGGAAGATCTTTGCAACAAGCAGGCCTGAAGCGCATTGTAAACGTGAGGATTCGAACGACAACCGCTTCCTCCAAGTCGCGAGATGAATCGTAACACGGTGTGACCAGCTTACCTGATTAGAGCTCAATATGCAACCTCCAGTGCCAAACTAATTCATTCATTCGAACAGAAAGTACGACTAGCCACAACACATGCATAATACAGCTGATGTTTTTAGATAGCTTTCTCAACTTATCATTTTGAAAAGCTTCAAAAATGGTCAGTGATGGCTGCCAGTATGATAAATCTGCTCCAGTAAACCGTTTACCCTTTCGAATTACCATCTTTGTCAGCGCAAGCTTCCCTCTCAGAAATCGGCAGATGCGTTTTGCACGCGGATCTACTCACGTTCTATTCGGTGAAGACCGCTTCCATGTGGTTTGCATAACACAAACGACAACTGACTAAAACGCTTGCCATGGAATCGATTGATTAGCAGGAAGACAAACAAGGGTACGAAAGTGCCGAAAGGACCTGCACGCAGACTTTAACAATTTCTGAACGGCTCCACCATCGAACAGAGGCTTTTTCATTTATAATAAATGGCAAAGGAGCGTTTAAACCAAGTGAGCGGCTAAATGACGCCTCGGCTTACCGTGTTCTGCGTGCGCCCGGGTCTTTTAGGCACCCCGCAGTCTCAATGAGGACGATACGGTCTAGAAGGCTCGCATCTTTTTGCCGACAGGGCGAATTTTTGCCACAAGTAGGGACTACAATTTGGTAATAGATACAACAGACATTCAGGGAAGAATGTATTTGCTAAACATCAGGCTTCCTCCGGAGATATTAAATTGATTTGGCATGATTCATTATCCTTTTCTGACTCTGTCGCTAATGAGAGATTCGAGTGAGAGTACAAAATTTCAGGCTGATAAAGCTTTGTTCCAGCGATTGTGTCTCCTTCCTCGCAGCTACTCCCGAAACTCGCCTTTTTGCTTTTATAGTCACCCGAACTTTCTCAGTGTACCGAATATACGCGGCCAGTGGCTCTTCTCGGTAAGGCCGACCACAGGAAAAGGTAGATTACCATGCGATCAGTAGACTCTCGATTGAACGGTGAAAGAGAATCATCCTTTCGAAGTCAGGGCGGATGTCTGTCTGGGATGAGCGTATTTCAGGAAACATTGTACCCGAATTTTTTATGTTGCCGTGAAGCACAGTACTCAGGGCAGGGTAATTAAGTTCCACTTGTGGATTTCGAGCGAAAATTGCAGAACTTATGAACATTGGCCTCGGTCTAGGAACGTATCTCGTTGATCATCGGCAGCTAGGCCACTGCGAGTTCGATCCCTCACAGCTTCCAAAGTACGTCACGTTGTCCTGGCGGAGTAGGCACAGCACCGGCCAAGTGCGCATGGAGTAGTTTGCAGGGAGGCGGAGTTACGCACCACCCACCTTCCACGGATGGCTAGACAGTTCCAAGACGACTGAAGGTGCCATGGGCGCATTGACGCCCTGTCTACGCGTGCCACACGCGTTCTGGCCCCCCTACGCGTACCAGGTTTCCGAGAAGGACAAAATTACTCCATCAGTCGACGGGCCTCCAATTCAAAACTTTCTGTGCGCTGTTATAAATTCCAGCCTATCAGGATTATTATTACTGAGGACTGCTCTGGTGTGCCGCGAGGACAGTTTCCCCAGTGTGGGTAACGAGCTCCTCCCCCTTCCCCTTCAAATGTTTGAGCTGGGCAGTGCAGTCCCTGACGTGGCCTGAAGGTCTACGTCTGGACAGTTCGACCGTCGTTGCGGACGATGTACACAGCTAGCTGAGAGCAGGCACGGTGACTTGCGCGAAAACTGTGAAAAACTGGAAACGGTGCAGTGAATGACTCCACTTAACTGTGGATCGTGTCATACGGAGTTTCATCCTGGCATGCATTTTCAGGCTGTTGCAGAAATCCCACAGCCGACAACGATTACTTCCCACGACCTCACACTATAACTCAAAATCCGTTATTTTGTGAAATGTACTTCTGTTTATTGTTTAGTTACTACAATCATTTCCGTTATCGTACAATGGCATATGATAAGTCTTTCGGCATAAATCCAGGCAATTTCTGTGTTTTCTTTCATTTTGTCAGCTTACTGTCTAGCTTGCTGCCCCACCTTTAAAATTCCCTCTACCATAAAACGCGTATGGCACTGTCCACAGTCTACTGACAGTTAAGTGGGGTCCTACTCTATACCGTTGCCGAAAGGCTTTTGAGAATGAGATGTTGTGCTTTGAGTGGTTGAGAAATACTCGACCTAAACACCCTAACTCTAACCCCTAGCTCCAACCCCAACAATATTGTGTACGTCAGTTGAGGCTACATAACCACATCTTATCGAGGAAATTACCAACTGATCCGATTGCACCCTCCAGAACATCCGGAAACCACTGTTGGTTTATCATTACGCGGTCTGAGGGTCTACTGTCATTTGTTTTCCAGTCCTCGGATTCGTTCAGGCAAGATGCTTTTTTTAAAAAACCTTTTATTACTTTGCCGGTTTCCTTGGTGAAAAGTGTTTTATGCCCTGCTGTGTGGAACTGCAACAATAAACACATAAATTCTGCATTGTTCGTTGTGGATCATTCAGTCCAAGCTGAAATAAGTCATAGTTCCTCGGAGAACTACGAACACGACTGCTTTAAACCTAACTACACTCTCATTGGAGTTTCAACTTCAATCTCCAAAGATGCAACCCCTAAAGGCGTTTCGAAGGCGCGTTTGTTGACTGCCGGAAAATCGATATCCACGCGTAATAGCAGGCTGCCAAAAACCCGCGCTGAAGATTTTCGTTCAGTTTGACAAGCGTGCGATCGGAGTATCAAAGTGCCTTTCGAGGTGATGAACATTCACCCAAATGTGCATGTTTGAAGGCTGTTGCGACAGTTGGTAGACTCTTTGTACTAAATTTAATTCGGAATTCCTTGAGAAAAAGGCATCGAGACAGAGCAGACGAATATTGGCATTGAATAAACAGAAATTTATCCAGAAGTAACGATGGGGCTAGAAAGACTAAATTGGTGTCCTGACTGACGTTGGCATGATCTGGCAATCATTACATGACTTTGATGTAATGGAGATAGAAGTATGCTGTAACTAAAATCAGTAAGAGTGGGTGCACGCCAATTTTTTGCTGGATGACTATTAAAGACAGGCAGCGTCGTACCGGAACCATCAGATCGTGTGCTAAGTTTCGGTCAACAGTTCCACTTTACACCACAATACCATCGAAGCAACTTTCGATTTTATGAAGTATTTTTTATTTTTAATAGCCGTTCTTCCAGAAAGTCGGCTCTGACCACATCTTAAGGTGGAAGCAGTCCAAAAAGACTGCTTGCCGTATTTAACAAACTGTTATGGCATAGGGCTGTGGGAATTTCAACGTTTCCGAAATTCCCGTGAATACTACTCACTCCAGAAGTACTTGTTTAGAATAATTTGCGATTTCATGGCAGAAATAGGGGAAATATTTGAAGCAAATTTATTTTTGAAAAACATATTTTTAAGAGCCTGCAGTATTCTGATCCTCGAATTTTCCGCACAAAGTGACTTGACAAACACGCGTTTAGATGTACTCTCAAAATTCAAAACCGTATCTTGATCTCTCAAATACTAACGCGGACGTAACCTACAAAGGTTTATTAAAGGCATTAACAGGTGCTTTGCATTCTTCGTAATCAAATCCGGGCACACAAAAGCTGATTTGGAACAATGCACAGGATCTGACAATTTCGATTTTATTCCGTCTTTTTAAGCAACTTTTAAAAGTAAATTGTGGTCTGGGAGTTTCTACGTTATCCTGCCTCTTTATATTGTGTCTCGAGGTAGCTGGTTCTCCTAAACTATGATTTCGGTATTTTAAATTTTGTTTTTTCTGAATAAACTGATCCTGCTTTACATTTTTTATCCCATTATTTTTGCCATCAGGTGACTGGATAAAACCTGCGGCTTATTTCTGCTTCAGCCTCATTATCTGCAATCACATCACATTCAAATATTCCGGTGTGTTTTTGTTATTTTCGGAGAATTATGAAATGGAAAATCCAATGTCTCCAATCACGGTTGTAAGCAATACTTGATGGTTGACTGACCCTCAGCACTTCACAGTCAGTATGGTCTCTAAACCCGGATCACCATGGTAACAACGGGATGCGTATTTCCACCCTACTTTTGGCACAGAACAATAAAGGACACATTCATAGAATTTCATGCATGCACGTGCGTTACAGTTCGACCGACGATGTCCACCGTGTAACCCACAGCAAGAACGACGACTTGCGCTGGAATTACCTTTTTTAGTCGGCACTATTCTAGGACAACATTTCAGTACGGTCAGGCAATTTGCTGGTCGGATCATAGATGACATTGTCCACCCCTGGCATTCTAATCTTATTTCTGCTTAGTCTTTCCGCCAGATGCACAGCAGCTTCCGACTTATGTCCTGTCGCACATCGGCACTTCGAGCTTCTGTGCTGACATTCATGGTGCGCTATCTTACTTGCGAAGAGATAGAAATACAGAAGCCAAGACTTGAACTGTCCTCATGATAATCGTTCTTTTTGCTGAAGAAGGAGACACGATCGCCGGGACAAGAGCTTTGTTAGCCTGACGTTTCGGATTCCTACTCGAATCCATCATCAGAGACAAAAAAGCAGAAACGGATGGTTGTTGCACAAGGGGCTGCGTATTTAAGGATGCAGTAGCCATGCTACCGCATACCTATGAACATTCGCGACTCGCCGCTTTATCCGGGATCATTGCTTGATGGCCGACATTCGCGTCGATTATTGCTGCAATTTCATCACGTGCGTTGGATGTTGGTGTGATGATTGCTCGACCATCTGACGCGCCGACCCCGTTGTTGGGAAAAGTCTTCACCTCTGCGCTCTCCGCATGGCTTGTTACTCCGCCTAGGCGAAGTTTTATCACGGAGTATGGAGTGGGAAGATCGTTGCACTTGTTGATGGACTGGGGGGCCAGTAAACCATGATTCCAGTAGCTCTCGGCCCACGCGGTTGTCACCTCTTGCGATAATTTCAGTCTCATCTAATTTGAATGTGTGGCCGGATCTCGTCGAAGGAGCAGCAACTTTAGATCTGGAGTCATATCCGCGCACCGCTGCCGCGTGTTCGGCCATTCTAGTTCGGAGCTGACTTCCGGTTTTTCCGACGTAGTTGCTTTGTCCGCAACTGCACCACATCCGATAAACGACTCCATACGTTTTTAGCCGTGACAGTGGGTCTTTCGGATTCATGTCCAGACGCTTGATGGTTGCCTCCGGTCTGTGTGCCACTCCAACCCCAAAGGTGCGAGAAGGCGACCGACAGCTTCCGAAACGTTCTTGACATACGGAAGTGCTCGCCAAGATTTGGTGTCCGTGCATTTAGGTCTTTCGTCCCTTTTGCGTATGCACCGGTCGACGAAGTTGCGCGGGTAGCCATTGGCTTTGAAGACCCATCGGAGTTATTGTAGTTCGCTGCACTTAGCGCCTTCTTTTCTCGTCACTCACCTGAAACCGCTGCCAAGAAGACCAGAGACGGGAAAGGACACAGGTGGTTGACACGACGAAAATGCGCACCTAGACGTGTCAACACGCGCTTGATTTGCACTCTAAGGACCAGGATTTCACACAGCTGGCAAAGGGATATAGCGGCTCGGATCCTGACTGAGTGGGAGTGCCATTGAGGCCACATGTAGAGAAGGGGCCATTGCAGCCTGGCTTTTTGTTCTGAAAGGAGGACCGATTAATCCTACCAATTGGTAGCCTTCCAAGCCACAGCTCTTAGCCCCCTAAGCGAGAAATATGCTCTGAGAGGGTCGATCTCGCTCTTCTTTCACCTCCAAATCGGTCAGATATCAGTATCAGCGTATTTCAGGGAAAGTAGGTGTATACCTTTGAAATCCCTATTGGTTACATGCAGAGGAAGTATATGGAGCATATGGAAAGGAAGTAAATTGAAAGAAATAAAGGGAGAATAACAAAAACTGCACAGATGAACACATAATTTCATGCGTTAACGGCATTTGAAGGCATATGAACTCGGTTTGTTGATTAAATGCAGCAGACAGTTGAAGCACACTTGAATATTGGTAGTAGCATCGTCATAACGCTGAACTGCCTACGTTGGCTATCAAGGTGGCTGTAGTCCGACCTTATTGTGGTGAGCCCTCCAATGTTGATCTGGCCTCTGTTTAAAAGTGTCTACGGATGCCGACATAACAACATCCTCAGGCAAAGCATGTCAAGCTGCAACCACTTTGTTGGAGAAGAAGAACTTTCGTGTGTCTAGCCGGGCACCAGTCACTCGAGTTTGAGAGGATGGCCTCTCAGGGTAGTCGTAGTCGCCAAGTCGTAAACGTCTGCAAATGCGAGGCAACAGCTCTGATTGCGAACGATGCGGAAAGCTTGTATCAGGTCCCCACATAACTGTCTGTAACTTAAAGGAAAGAGGTCAAGGTTAGTTAATCGTGCTTCGCAGGGTAGTGAGCACTGCCCAGATACAAGTTTCGTTGTTCGTCGTTGGACCTTTTCGAGTATGCCGAGGTTTTTAGCGGTCCAGAGTCTCCAGGCTTGGATAGCAAATTCCAGATGCGGTCGCACAACAGTTCCAAAGATCTCGGCGAAGCAGTCTCCGTTAAAGGAAGAGAACGACCGTTTGACGAGGTGTGGAATGGACATCGATTACTTGACTGCCTTTGAGCATTACGACGAAATCTTAAGTGTGGTTGTGGTCCAAACACCCAAGTACTTCTGGGCGTCGACTTCTTACAGTGGTTTGTCAGTCAGACGGTAGACCGTGCTGTTAGCAGAGCTTTCTCCACCGACGAGTAGGAAGTTACAGTTGTATACGTTGAAAGGTAGAAGCCAGTCTTTTGAGCATTGCTCGAGGTAGTTTAGATTTGTCTGTAGCCACGTGGCTGACAAAGCTATACCTCGTCTGCGCGTACTGTGTACAGTGCGTGACCTATCTCATGAAATGTTGGCTGAAATTCTGAAATGCGGTTTCGATTAGGAAGGATTACTTGGTCGCGATTGTGATACTGATTATCTTAAGGCATAGTCTTATAACATTTTGGACTCGGCAGGATGTCGGCTTTTAAATGCACTTCTTTTCAATCTCCAGTAGAAAGCATGCTCGGTAAAAAAATGACTACTTAAATAGCATGCATTTTTCCCATTGATTTTCGATGGTCTTGGAAACTCAACTATATTTTATAGAAACCACAAGCAAAAATATGCTTTCTTTTAGTCAATCGATAGAGAATCACGTCTTTTTTATATTTTATACCCAAGGAAGGAGTATAATTAGGTTTTAAAAAAGTTTCCAATTATGAGACTTTTTAAGACCGCGATATGTCCATTCACAAAGCATCGTACCTGGCCGTTTACCACTGCTCCTCATGAAATGTACAACATGGTCCACATTCATTGCAAAATTCTATGGACCCTGTATGATATCTCTTTAATGACATGTAAAAATATGGAATTTTCCTTACGCGGAACGCTTGCACCTTGTAGAGTGTAATCACTAAGCGCTAATACAGGCTCCAAATTATTCGACAATTAGAAAACTTTTTTAAACCTAATTATACTCCTTTCTTTAGTACAAGATATAAAGAAGACGTGATTCTCTACTGATTGACTAAAAGAAAGCATATTTTTGCTTGTGGTTTCTATAAAATATATTTGAATTTCCAAGAGCATCTAAAATCAATGGTAAAAATGCATGTTACTTAAGTAGTCATTTTTTACCGAGGACGCTTTCTACAGGAGATTGAAAAGAAGTGCATTTAAAAGCTGACATCCTGCCGAGTCCGAAATGTTATAAGAGTATGACGCAAGCAAATCCGTATTACAACTGCGACCAAGTAATCCTTCCTAATCGAAACCGCATTTCAGAATTTCAGCCAACATTTAATGAGATAGGTCACGCACTGTACACGGCCTGCCTCCCCCCGCACAACGAACCAGGATTTCACCCATAGGAGTGGGCAGTTTGTGGGATGGACGGTCATTTCGTCTATTTAAGGTATTACGTTTAATAGTGCTACTAATGCAACTAAAGTAGGGTGTTAACACGGAAATTATATGCCAGGCTGCGGGTTACTGCAGAGAGAGGGGGGCAGTGCCAACACACCGCTACAAGGGTGACACAGACGCTAGCTTTTCAAGGGAAATATAGGAGCACAAGGTTTTCATTGGGCTGCCTAGCCGTCAAAAACTGTCTGTCTTTCGACGGACGCCCATCAGGGCACTGGTTTTTCGAACAAGCGTATCTACCAGGGAATGCTGAAAAACAGGCTGGAATATGGACGACTCTTCGAGTTCAGATGATAATTCAACCGGTCGCCCGCCAGTTCACATTCCGCCTGCAGTGATCGCTTCGAGAACACGTTTGAAAATGGCGGAATCGGATGTGATTATAAATCACCAATTTTCCTCTTGTTAAGGTCTTCCGCGCCCCTAAAATTTCTGTCTTAAAATATAAAAGAGCCTTAGTGAAAAATATTTAGAAATACAGATTTTACTAGAATGTTAGCCGTTCAAAAGGTAACTAAGCTTTTTAATCACTCCCTTCTCATCCTTAATATGATAAAAGAAAGTAGATTGTACCATGGAAAAGAAGGTGAATTCACCAAAACAAGTGGAATGTTCCATAAGTTTGATACAAATAAAAGGAAAGTTATTTCGGCAAACATGTGTTTTCGGTAATGCTTTATCAGGCCAAAGCAATTACATGGAAGTTGAAAATATGCGAAGTTCACAGGGTTTATAAGTGACTCGGCGGTACTAATACTCATCGTTCCTACGCCGCCCGCGTGGTGAGATCTGCGTGTTCTGATCATTGGGTTAAGGGGGCAAGGGGAAGTGGTGACATAGGCTGTGAGTGTTTAAGTGGGGTACGTTAAGCACACATCACTGCCATCAGGAGGTTGGGGCGACGTGCAGTCATCATCTGGGGTCGGCGTTGACCACGAAAGACATAGCGCCTGTCTCAACGTCTTCTGACAACATAGCACTGGATTGACTAGTTGCAAAGTCACTACCTCAGCTGTGGCTAGCACCCGTTGACGTAGGCCTCCGGAGAAGCTTGCTGGTGCACGAAAGATAACAAGAAAGGATTCTTTGGCATGGACTCCGTGATTTGTATCGAAAAGATGTGCGAGAGAAGAACTCGAAATCGACTCTTTTTCACCTCTTCTTAGCCAGGGCGGTGTGTGTTTATGTACTCTCTTTTCCAAGTGTCTCGTTGCACGGACAATGTATTCCGCTCCACAGGAGCAAGTGGATGAGTAAATACACATTGAAGTGGGTTGCAAAGTGAGTCGGTCTTTACTTCCCAAACGCAGAAGGGGCGAGTTCATGAAACATATGCGTAAGTTCGCCGCAGGGAAAGCGCTTATGACCGCTGTCTTCTAATGTCTTTCAAGGTCACTTGCTGCGTCCCCTTGAAAAGATAATCTTATAAATAAGTCGCTCTATTCTGCAGTTACTATACTGGGCCTTGCATTGCGCTCCCGTATAATTCGGGGAATAAATCTTCCTGGGTATCCGTTTTCATGGAGTATATCCCGCAGCGTCTGGTTTTCAGCATTAACAGTTTCAGCAGAGCAGATATGTCGCACTCTAGCTGCCAATCCCTGTACCAAATAACGTTAAATATTCAGGGGAACAAAGCTGTGAACATTACTGTATTGTCCCGTCCAGGTTTTTTTTTCGGAATACCATACGCTGGATAGATCTATTCTCTTGTCTGTGCAGAGAACACTGAGGAACGCGATTTCGCTGTCTGTCCCAAACTCTGTAGACAGCATTAGCGAGGGGTGCGCACATGATAATGAACATTACAGTCCCACGTAAATGCTATTTCGAACTGGAAACTCGTTTGAGAATTTTGGCAACTATTTTATGAGGCATTTACACATTAGTCATGCTTACGGAAAATAATCCATTGTAAGGCTACAGTGTAAAGATTAATCATCGCCGATACAAGCGAAGATGCAAGTTCAAGGAACTAGTTGATCAGAAGAAGAAGCGATCGCTGGAACAATGGCTTTATTCGCCTGACGTTTCGGATTCTCTCTTGAATCCATCATCAGAGACAGTTGCAGAACTGTCTTTGATGATAGATTCAAGATAGAATGCGAAACGTCAGGCGAATAAAACCATTGTTACAGCGATCGCTTGTTCTTCTGATCAGATTAATCATCACTTTACATAAAAATAAACTAAACATAACAACCGTCTCCAACAGCCTGTCCTCATTGCGCATGTTTCCTTGATTAACTAAGTTAAATATAGGCGTAAGAAAAGAATACACCCACATCAGTGCACTATCTTCAGAAACGTGATTTCTAACAGGTGAGGTGTTGGAGGGTCTGCTGAATTTGCGCGGGACTACCAGTCATAAGTCTATCCATGTCTTTACTTCTAAATTTAGACTACAGCAGACGACCTTAATTCATGTTTTTTGTAGGCCTGATAATTACTGACTAAATGTAGTCTTGAGAAGAGTAGTCGGAAAAATCTACTTTAAGCATTTTTGATCCATTTGATTAGATTGTCATTAGGCAAAAATTTCAAAGTCTGAAAGTCTATATATACGGGCTTTGTCTTAACTAACAAACTGACTATCGAAATGTGATCCCGACCGCAAAGTGTTACCTAGGGGAAGTTATAATACCCAATCCCTCAAAGAATTGTTTTAAGGTATTGCAACCACCCTAGAATTCTCAAAACCCCCTACAATTACATTTATACTTTATGAAAAACACAAGTAAATATTCTTTATTATTTTCACTTGATAGCCAATTTTGTCTTTTTTAAAAAAGGGGATGGAATTTGGCTTTAAAATGTTTGTAGTTTTTGAACTTGAGAAAACCGTGATATCGTTGTTTTCGTGTATCCGTTTTTGTGGAGCGTATGCTGTAGATACTGGTGTTCTGCCTTGGCAGTCTCAGGAGAGCAGAACAAGGGAGTGTAGCCGAAGGGGGGACTTCTCATAAATCTGAAAACAATTAAGTTTGAATGAGGACAATAAAAGAAGCTAAGCACTGCAAAATATAGACTCAAAAGCAGACAATAATAGAATACACCCAAGATTCAAATAACGTCATAGACAAATTAAAAGGAGTAACAATTACAACCGACAGGATAACGGTTTCAGCCCATGTGATCCCGCTCTTCACTTCGGTTCCGTAAGATTTAGAGAGCAGCTACACCGAAGAACTCCTAAAGGCCAACGTTTTGTTCCAGTTAGAAGTCAACGTCTTCATTGTCAACCGATGATGTCGGCAACAGGGAGGCATTTTATAGTTTCGCCAGCATCTGGCTTCCTGTGAGAAACCATAACCCAAAAAGATGGCAGTGTCCTTAAGATGACACATGTGTAATTGGCAAGAAAAATCAGCTACAGTAGGTGGGCTAACTCACGAAATGGCAAGCGAAATTTCGAAATGCGTTCTCGTTTCGAAAAGATTAATTAAGTAGGGCTGTAAAAATAATCCTCCTTCAGCATAACTATATGATAATCCAGTTACCTCAGGGTGTAGACTTTCAAAAGAACTTCTTCTCTACTGCATGCAAGAACTATACTCTGTAAAAAATGACTACTTAAGTAGCATTTTTTCATTGATTTTCGATGCCCTTAAAAACGCAGTTTTATTTCATGAAAAACATGCATAGAAATACTCACACTTTTGCTCATTCCGTAGAAAATAGCGTCTTCTTCCAATTTTATCCTCAAAGGAACTCAACACTTTCTTAAAGCATAAAAATGGAAGATGTAATTTTCTACCTAAAGAGTGAAAGGCTGAATACTTTTATGCATGTTTTGCATGCAGTATAATAAAATTTTTAAGGGCTTCAAAAATCATTGAAAAAATTGTATGTTAATTAAGTAGTCATTTTTTGCGAGATATAATTCTTGCATGCAGTCGGAGAGAAGTTCGTTCGAAACCAGGCACCGTGAGGTAACTGGATTATTACAGAATTATGCTGCAGGATAATTCATTTTTCAAGTCTACTTAATTAATATTTTCGAAAGGAAAACAAATTTCGAAATTTCGGCTGACACTTCATGAATTAGCCCACCTACCGTAAATGCGTTCCACACGAATCTTGATTCTAAATTTCCCGAATCACATTTGCATTCTAAACGGTGACTGATGAAAAACTCCCTTTTCTGGATATTCTTGTACGTCAAAAAACTGATTGATCATTTCACATACATTGTGAGAGTAACTAGCCCGTTGCTCACAAAAGGCGTTTTGTCTACAGTCTATTAAGTCCGAAGAAAACACAGCTCTGATGAGGCGGGTTATCAAACAGAAATGATATATCCCTTCATGTTATTTTCCATAATTGATATATGCGTAACTTTATTGCTGAATGAGCTCAAGCGGAAAGGAATTTCAAATGCTGCGGCCACCCAAGCACCAAAAACAGTTCGCTCAACAAAGGTACGGGGAGTTTTGGGATGGGGGGAAGGGAGATCTGTTACGGTTCTGTGTCCTGGAGGGGAAAGGGTATACTGAATCACTAGGAATGCGAATGGTTGGTTGTTGATATGACACAGGCCAGATGTCAGTGGGCCAGCGTTGACGCTATTAACACTTTCGGTTGCAGTTCATCGTGTCGGAGGTAGAAGCTGGCGAGGGAGTGAAATTCTGCACGGCTGAGTAGGAATTAACAGTTGTTGGGGAATGGACACAAGTTTGAGAGCGTTCAAGTAAACCTTATTGGTGGGCATCTAGATCAACGTGGCGGTTGATGCTGATCGTGTCGGTATGTCAAACCTTGAGAAATTCCCTCGTCGATTTGATGTTAAACATCGCGATTTTTTACAGCTAGTGACTGATCTCATAAAATGTTGGCCGAGATTCCGAAATGCGTTTTCGATTAGGAAGAATTACTAAGGCACGGTTGTTATACGGATTATCTTGCAGCATAATCCGATAATATTTCGGACTCGGCAGGATGCCAGCTTTTGGATACATCTTTTCTATCTCCTGTAAAAACCGTCCTCGGTAAAAAAACGGCTACTTGAATAGCATGCATTTTTCCATTAATTTTCGATGATTTTACTAATTCAAATATATTTTTATAGAAAACGTGAACATAAATATGCTCTCTTTCAGTTGTTTGATGGAGACTTACGTCATCTTTATACTTTATACTCGAAGTAGGAAGATAATCAGGCTTTATGAAAGTTTCTACTTATGAGATTTTTAAGACCGCGCAATGTCCGTTCATTTAGAATCCTACCTATCCGTTTACCACTGCTGCTCAATAAATGCCCGACATAGTTTACATCCATTGCGATATTTTCTGGACTCTATACGGTATCTTTTTAAACTAATAGAAAAATACGTGATTTTCTTTACGCGGAGCGCATGAACCTTGTAGACTGAAATCACTAAGCGCTTATGCAACAACCTATCAGGCTTCAAATTATTCGGCAATTAGAATACTTCTTTAAAACCTAATTATCCTCCTACTTCGAGTATAAAATGTGCAGATGATGTAAGTCTCTATCAAACAAATGAAAGAAGGCATAGTTCTGTTCACGCTTTCTATAAAAATATATTTGAAGTAGCAAGACCATCGAAAATCAATGAGAAAAATGCATGCTATTTAAGTAGCCGTTTTTTACTGAGTATAGTTTCTGCAGTAGATTGAAAAGCAATGTACCCAAAAGCTGACATCCTGCCGAGTCCGAAATGTTATAGAATTATGCTGCAAGATAATTCTTATTCCAATCGCGCCTAAGTAATCCTTTCTAATCGAAAACGCATTTCAGAATTTCAGCCAACATTTCATGAGATCGTTCACAGCCGTAAGTTTCCTCCTAACTAATGTGGTAGTCACAATCAAGAGCAAGCGCAAATACGCGGGTCAAGGGGTCATGTCGGCATAGAGCTAAATTATGCACGTAGACGTGAGTCCTTAGAAGTCGGCCTGTATGACCCATACAAACAAAAGAACAGTTGGCGCATGGAATGCAATAAATCACATTAATTAGGTCCTTTTTGGGTATGGGGCCTTTTACTCGGCATAATGCTGCGCGTAGGAGAGATGTGAGGTTGTGATGGATGGAGATGCCAAAGCGCTTTTATTGCCTGCCTTTCAATATATATATATATATATATATATATATATATATATATGAGTGCGCGCAAATGTATATATATCCTGTTTATCAACTTCCGAGGAAGACGAAGAAGAGAAGGCGATTTCATGGACAGGATTCCATTCAAGCTGACGTTTTGGAAGCATACTCGTCTCCATCATCAGAGTCGGTCGCTGGCGTTTCCTGCTGGCCTTGATTTGTTCAGCCTTGCCGCCTGCCTCGTATTATAACCGTGCCCAGCGCACGCACGTTGGTTAGCCTGTTTCTGTTGGCTGATTGTGGGCTCTCTGGTCGCAGCCATTGGCGGACTGGCGTACCTTGTGTCTCTCTCACGTCTGACATGGTTGCTGCCGCGTCGGCGTGCTCGTTGGCCTCCGCCTCGTCAGACGGCGGGCTCGTCGATCGTCGTTCCTCAGGCGTGGTCTTTCTGGCCTCGCAAGTACGTCCGTGAGATAGCGGGCCACGCCGGTCACCTGACATTCGGTGAGCGCCTTCCCTCTCCACCAGCGCCGGTAGTCGATCCCGTGTGGCTCTTTTCATCCGTGCCGTTGGTACAGCCTAGACTGACTCGAGCCTCGCGCGAAGCGCCTGGTAGGCGGGATGTAGGTCTATGGCCCGGTTGCGGTTGCCAGTCAAGGACCAACTTTCCAGCATCAGTCATTTTGTCATTGGCTCGACCGGCCACCCGCGTTTTCTCGAAAGCGAAATTGTGGTCCCGTTCTAATCTGTGGCCATACACCAACGAAAGCTTATCCTTGCGGTTAATTGCAAGCTGATGCTTATGCAATCTTGTGCCTAGGCGTTCAACCGTTTCACCAACATACCTTGCTGTAGAGCAACGCTGATTGTTCTGTCACTGGCATACAGAATACCATGCCCGAAACAGTGCTGTATCAATCTAGCCCAGACTCTGTCCTCTACCCTCTGCTATCCTAGCTTGGCCGACTTCGGCCTGGTAGGTGGTTGCCTGTTCGTGACCCTATCGCCTATACGAAGCTTGTTTGCTTCGGAAAGCCAACGGATCGGTGTGCGCCCATTCCTGAGTGAATATATATATATATATTAGTTTTGTACATATAATATTGTCGTCTTCTACAACTGGAACTTCCACTGGTCCCTGATTTTATTTGAACAGATAGCGTCACTTGACCATTTTCAATGAGGAGCTTAGGATCAAAACATTCATTTTCGTTCCAAAACCTGCGTCAACAAAATACGTTTTAGGTCCTGTTCCGCTCAACTAAGCTGCATTCTGAACGACCTCCGAGCACCGTATCAGGCTTTAAAGGCCTGAATAATATTAAGCCGAATACGTCAAAGTATTTTGGCAGAAACGGACGCCATGGCTGTAATAATAGTTTTGTTTGCCTGAGGTTTCGTACTCTGCCTCAAACCCATCATCAGGAAGAGTAACAGGTAAGCGTCCACCACGCAGTCACTATGTGTAATATTGGCAGAATGCTGTTGCCAACAATCTGATCCCCTGTTTTTACATTAACATTAGCTGTAGCTGTTTCTAAGGACGGATTCGTGTGAGAATCTTTAAAGTCAGGTGAATGAAATTCTTGTCTCAACGACCATGTCCCTTCATTTTTAACTGTTCCCTGCAAAGCATTGACTTTCATTGTCCTTCAAAAGTCTGAGCAATCCTATCTTTAAAGCAATGATTTGCAGGTCGTATTTATCTAAAAGCCAGTGTATAAAAAGAATGTTAATTGTCACTTTTACGCCTGTTTTGGATCGAATCTAAATATTTAAAACAAATTTGATACGCAAGTAACATCAAATGCTGTTTTTTGATGGGTAATTACCCCCCTCCTGCAACCAACATCATTGACGCCTATGAAATATACTCTGTTCCATCGTAAAATATTTTAAATTAACTGCAGACCAAAGGTTTCCTGATTATGTGATTTCGGAAATCTGTAAAAGAATTCAACGCATAGATTCCTCTGTTTGCCGAAATACTGGTGATTTCCGAACTCAGCGCGTAAAAGTTCGTTCACACCGATGGCTGCCAGTTATCATAGGCCAATTCAAGTAAAATGCAGCTGCTTTGCTATAATGACAGCCTGCGCGGAGTACGGCATTCTAATCGGTTGGCGGTGCTTTTAAACCATCCTGCCCTTCTCAAAGGCACCTGCACTTAAACGAACGTGGCGTTACTATCAGGGGACTGATTAAAATGCACCTAGCCAACGCAGGACTCGGCGTAGGTCATTCAGGCAAATCATTTGCGAGAGTCAGTCGACTGCATGAATTGGCACGTCCAATCAGAGAACGACTTCGAATCAGAAGCTACGCTTTCACTTCTTCTTAGTGCATGCGACTTGACAGAAGGAACAGTAGTTCCAATGCGCCCAAAATTCTCCCTGACACAGTCCTCCTAATTTATCTTGCGTCTATTTCCTTCTGACTTAGATCTAGGCGAGACTTTCGCACCGTAAACACTCTCGCCCAGTTGACATGGGTGGCCTGAGGTATTTTAAATGGCAATTCTGGCGGAAAAAGTCCTCAGAAGAACATCGAGTGACACTTAATCACTCGAAAAGCAACAGTCGGTCTGCAGAGAGTGCAAACCGTCGATTTCCCAGGAATGAGGCCGTCTCTTCACACTACACATGGTGGAACTTCCTTGTGTTGAATCTATTTGAACAGATGCACAGTGTGGCCAACTTCTTCTTCACAATGATCTCAATCATCTTCTTTTTCAGTGAAACACCCATCTCTCCGGCTACAGTTGTGGCGCCTCTCATTGTAGTGATGAGCGTGCAAATAATCAAGGACGCCGTCGACGACATTGGACGACATCGAAACGATAACAAAATCAACGACACTCTCTTTCCCGTCTGGGTACACAAGACACAGGGATATGAAACCGAATCTTCTTGGGTCAACGTAAAAGCTCGGAATATTCGATGTGGTGACCTTGTCCTCTGCAGGGAGGGTGAGTCATTCCCCTGTGATACTCTCCTTCTTGCTTCCAGTAATCTGGATGGCAAAGTAGCAATAACGACTGGCAATCTGGACGGGGAGTCCTCTGTTAAGACCCGCTTCGCGCTGCCAGCCACACAAAAACCCTTTGAAGTGCTTTTGAAGGAATTCAGCAGTCCTGGAACTCTTGGGAGCGTTTTCGGGAATATTAACTTCCCGCCGGTTGCTCATGTTGTATGTCAGGAGCCTACAGATGACTTCGGAACATTTGAGGGAAGACTGGAATACGCCAACCGCAATGTCACAGACGGCCTGCTGTCGATTCCTCTGACAATCGAAAATATCGGCCTCCGAGGTGCAACCCTGCGAAGCAGCAGCGTCGTCTGTGTCGCTATATACACCGGCAAGGATACAAAGCTCTCCCTGAATGCTAAAAGTGGCCACCTGAAAACCAGTTCAACAAAGCATCGATTCAATTCCATTCTCCTCATCTTTATACTAGCAATGCTCATCTTCACAGTTGTTTTTGTCGGCGTTGAGTACGCCTGGCAAAATACAGTTTCAGGTTCCGGCTGGTATCTCGTCCACGGTCAGGTAACGGCCTGGAAAGTAACCCAGGGGGCCTTTGACGTGGCCATTCTCATGAATTACCTGATCCCCATATCAATGATAGTCATCATGGAGATTGTGCAGTTATTTCTGGCCCTTTATGCGGCCAATGATATCGCATTTCACGATAAGGAGTCAGGTGAACGCTGTCAGGTGAACGCCACCAATATCGCCGAAGAGTTGGGCCAGGTGGAATTCCTTTTTAGCGACAAGACTGGCACTCTGACGCAGAACAAAATGGAATTTCGGTGTTTTGCGTTGGCTGGCGGAGAAAGCATATACAGCCTTGAACAAAATGGTCTTCATCAAATGCCTGTTGGATCGGAGCAATATTCTGATGCAGAAGCCTCGAAAGAGGAGGAGCAATTCATGGATGTTGGCTATGAGTCCTCAGAGGACGACGAATCAGATGCCTACCTGGGAGATTCTGATAGCAAGACGAAGCATAAATCTGGACATTGGAGTACCGGTGGGGAGCTAGTGGAGGCATATTCAGAGGAGATGGAACTCTTTTGGAGAGTAGCCACTCTTTGCCATTCCGTGGAAGTGAAGACCTCAAGGGGAACTGAAGAACAAAAGTATGAGGACATGTGTTACAGTGTAAGTGTCGGTGTCAAGGTCGGCATGCTCATGACTATCCTACCAGACCGTACTTCTTCTCACTCGCTTGGTTTGTCTCTTCTAGGCCGCATCTCCCGATGAACTGGCTCTGGTACAAGCAGCCGCCAAATGCGGCTTTATTTACATGGGAAAGGAGTGTGCTGGGGATGAGTGGGTCGACCTCGGACGTGAGACAGTCCACGCCCTAAGACTGACAGGGATCGCGGAGAGACCTGAACACAAGCTATTGCGGTTCTACCTTGGCGGCACGTTGGAATTCGATGCAACCCGGAGGCGGATGTCTGTCTTGGTACAGTCAGTCAATGATAGCCGCTGTTTTATCCTCAGCAAGGGGGCCGAGACTGCGATGCTGAAGCAGCACGTAAGCCGTGAGCCATTGATTGCAATCTCCTTTACCGTATTTTACTGTGTTCAGGTGACTTTCTGTCATTCCTAATCTGTGCGGACCAGGCAAATAAAGTCTAGTTTTCGCAATTTAAAGTCTACCGAGTCACCTCTAGCTAAGTAACCCCATCGAAAATTCGTCAAATGGTCTTTCCACTCATGCCCAAGAAACAACCGATAATCTGTACATCTAATCAATCGTGATATTGGATAATCGTCTACTCTTGAAGAAGGAGACACGATCGCGGAGACAAGAACTTACTTCGCCTGACGTTTCGAATTCCTGCTCGAACCCATCATCAGAGACAGCAGCAGATACAGATGGTTCATGCGCAAGGGGCTGCAGTATCTATAGGATGCAGTCGCCATGCTACCGCATGCCTATGAACATTCACGACTCCCCCTTCATCCGGGATCGTCGCACTTGGTGTGCTAATTGCTTGATGGCCGACATGTGCGTCGTTAATTGCTGCAATTCCATTACATGTGCTGGATGTTGGTGTGATGATTGCTCGACCATCTGGCTCAGCAACCCTGGTGTTGGGAAAAGTGTTCACCTGTGCTCTCCCCGCGTGGCTTATTCTTCCGCCTAGGCGAAGTCTCAGGACTGAGTATGGAAGGGGAAAGTCATTGCACTTGTTAATGGACTGCGGACCAGTAAACCATGACTCAAGCAGTTCCCGGCTCACTCGGTTGTCACCTCTTGCGAGAATTTCGGCCTCTTCGAATTTAAATGTGTGGCCGGATGTCGTCGAATGAGCCGCAACTTGAGAGCTGGCGTCATTTCTGCGCACGGCTGCAGCGTGCTCGGCCATTCGCGTTCGGAGCTATCTTCCGGTTTCTCCGACTAAGGTACTTTGTCCGCAACTGCATCAGATCCGATAAGCGACTTCCGACGTTTCTTGCCGTGACAGCGGGTCTTTTGGTCTCATTACCTGACGCTAATGGTTACCTCCGGTCTGTGTGCAACTCCAATCCCAAGTGATGCGAGAAGGCGGCCGACAGCTTCCGAAACGTTCGTCAAGGGCGACTGACCTAGCAGCTCGACCGTCACATGTAACGATGCCAACCACACTCTCCAGGGGGTGGACGTATCGCCGGTGACTTGAATGTGGATGAGGTTTTAGTGGGACGGACTTTTGTCCCATCCACCGCAGACTCTCTCTCGGTCTTCCCCCGCCCACCCTGCTCCAGTAGCCAGACAATTTTGAGATTACCAAATATTCCCAGTCATGGTTCTCACCTCAACTATCCCAAGGTGCCAAAAAGGCACCTCGGATCTTGTATCAGTTAGAATGCTTAAAAGGATGCATTGAGGTCAAATCCACAGTCCTCGTCGCGAAGACTGAGTTATCTCGTCAAATGACAATCTTGAAAGTCACGCCTCTTAGCCTGCCGAGATATAATCAAGCGTATGTGGTTTATTTTGACGAGGAGGACGAGGACTAAGTATGGAAGCGGAATCGTCTAAGTAGGCCTTACTTTCTCTTCCTCTCATGTGCCAGTCGAATGCCCGAGTCCGTCAGTCAGGATTGACGCAGTGGCTGGCACAAGCCGTCTACACGTGCCACACACGAGCTGGGTCTCGCAGTGTGCATATGTACACTTTAGGACAACATACACGAGTGAGAGCAAGTGGTGGGTAGCCTTCCATGCTCACTGGTGCAAGGGCCAACAATGCACGCATTAGTGATCTGTACGTTTATTTGTTTACAGTGCGGGCGACTTTCACAGCACCTCTTTAGCTCCATGTTCTTCTCTCATCAGTATCGGTATGCCACGATGAACATGAGCACCAAAAGCGGGCGTTATGGTCTGCCTTCTTTACTTAAAATCCCTTTCACTGCGCGTAAACGCTGATTGGTTCAGCATGACGCTGTCTGCCTGCGGAGAATCTGATAAGGACACCAATCAGAATTCTCATTGGGAACACCCTTACACCGAAAGTGCTTCCATTCAGTATAACGTCCTTTCGGAGGTTGGTTTGATAAACTAGGTGGAGACTTTTGTTGTTTTTAGATGTGCTCCGGGTCTCCGCCCGAAATTCGCGAAGATGTTACCCGCCGAGTCAATGAATTTGCCTCGAGAGGTCTTCGAACTCTGGTCTTTGCTGCCAGAGAGGTTTCCCCGAGTGTCTACCGGACCATGATCGGCGAGTTGAAACGCGCTCAGGGGCTCACAGGTCAAGAGAGAGCACAGGCTCTGGAGAAGGTGAGCGCAAACATTGAGTCGCGTCTGCAGTTGGTGGGAGTCAGTGGAGTGGAGGACAAACTTCAGCCTGGCGTCAAGCAATGTCTCCGGAGCCTTATTGCTGCTGGAATTCAGGTAAGAATGAATGTATGCGGATAGGCAGAATGATATAACCGACAAAGACAAGGGAGACTGGAATGGCCATTTCTGGCTTATTAGCCATCGTCAGCCAGCCATACCCAAGCCCGAAGTGTGGAACACCCGAGCCTCGAACTTGCGACCTGTTGGTTTAGAAGTCAACGCCTCTACTCACCGGGCCACGAGCCCGTTGCCTTGTCGGTTTTTGATCAGGAATATACAGTGTGAGGGGGCGCTCACCGATCGTTCATACGGAACTCACTCGTTCCGTTGTGCCTTAAGGACTCTCTCTCGAGCCCAACCAGCAGCCGCACAGCGGCGCATGACATATAGGCAGAATGATATGATATGAAATGGCCATTCCAGTCTCCCTTGTCTTTGTCGGTAATATCATTCTGCCTATATATCATGCGCCGCTGTGCGGCTGCTGGTTGGGCTCGAGAGAGAGCCCTTAAGGCACAACGGAACGAGTGAGTTCCGTATGAACGATCGGTGAGCGCCCCCTAACACTGTATGCGGACAATTGCATAACGGGGTTAGTATTGGCATTTAAGGCAATTTTTGAGCAAGAGGAGACGAATGTCATCTGACGGTCTGGACCCCATGTCCGGGTGTCCAACCAGACTCTTTGTGCCGTTGGGAATTCAACATACAGTGCGTGACCGATCTCATGAAATGTTGGAATGCGTTTCCTACTAGGAAGGATTACTTAAGTAGGGTAATTATACTGATTATCATACTGCATAACCCTGTAAAATTTTGGAGTTGCCAGGATGTCGGCTTCTGAATGCACTTCCTTTTGACCTCCTGCAGAGAGCACACTCGGCAAAAATGACTACTTATGTAGCATTCATTTTTCATATTCACTTTTTATAGTCTTGCGAAGTCAAATATATTTTACAGAACACATGCACGAAATATACTTTCTTTCTCCCGTTTGGTAGGAAATCACATTATCTTCATATTTTTTGTTCGAAGAAAGTGTGTAGTGAGGTTTGAAAAATGTTTTTTACTATGAGATTTTTAAGACCGTGCGATGTACGAGCATGCAAGACAGCACATGACCCTTTACTAATGCTCCTTATGAAATGTACAACACAGTCCCGATCCATTGCAAAATTTCATGAACTCTATATGGTATCTTCCAAAAAGCATAGGGGAATATATGATTTTCCTTAGGCGGAAAGCATGAGACTTGTAGAATGAAACTGCCTAACGCTGATCCAATGGCAGATCAAGCTAAAAATTATTCAGGAAATGTGAAACTTTTTCAAAACTTAAATATAACCTCTTTCCGGACATAATATATGAAGATAATGTGATTTCCCACCAAATGTGCATGTTGTCTATAAAATATATTTGAATATATAAGACTGTCTAAAATCAATAGGAAAAATAAATGCTAATTAAGTAGTCATTTTTGCCGAGTGTTGTTTCTGCAGAAGGTCAAAAAGAAGTGCATTCAAAAGCCGGCAACCTGGCGAGTCCGAAGTGTTATAGGGTTATGCTGTATGATGATAAGTATAACAGGCTCACTAAAATAATCCTTCCTAATAGGAAACACATTCTGGAATTTTGGCCAACATTTCATGAGATCGATCACGCACTGTATCATTGGAGGCAACTAACAATCGTCTGTCACTGCGCTCGTCCACATCGATTTTCGATGGTCTTGTAAATTCAAGTATATTTTTACGAAGCATTCACAAAAATATTCTTCCTTTTACTCGTTTGATATAAAATCACATTGTTTTCATATTTGATGTCCGAAGATAGTGAACATTTAGGTTTTTAAAAAGTTTCCCACTTCCCGCATAATTTTGAGCTTGATCTGTCGCTGCATTAGCGCTTAGCGATTGCAGACTAAAACGTGCGTGTTTTCGCGCAAAGAAGATCATATATTCCTCAATTTCTATAAGAAGATACCCCATAGAATTAATAAAAGTTTGCAGTGGATGCGGACTATGTTGTCCATTTCCTGAGGGGCATTCGTACACGGACATGTACGATGTTGTATGTATGGACATCGCATTGTCTTAAAAATCGCATTATTATAATTTTTTTAAAACCAAAAGATAATCTTCCTTAGAATACAAAATATGAAGACAATGTGTTTCTATACCAAACGAGTAGAAGAAAGAATGTTTTTTGTGTATGCTTCGTATAGAATATATTTGAATTTTTAAGACTATCGAAGATCGATGGATAAAATGCATGCTACTTAAGAAGTCAATTTTTACAGATTGCGGTTTCTGCATGAAGCCAAAATAAAGTGCATTTAAAAGCCGATATCCCGTCATGTCCGAAATACTCTAGGGTAATATCACGCAATAATCACTATTACAAACCCATCTAAGTAATCCTTCCTAATTGAAAAGGCATTTTACAATTTCGGCCAACATTTCATGAGATCGGTCACGCGCTGTGTCTTCTCTATTGAACCATCTATTAAAACTCTTCACACAAACGCAGTTCACATGTTACGCCATGAGAACTGGACTTATTTATTCGGGAACACATTGGTCTTTAAATTCCACAGTAAAAAACTTTTTTAAACCGAATTATACTCCTTTTTTGAGTATGAACTTGAAAGATAACGAGATTCTTTACCGAATAAGTGAAAGAATGAATATTTTTATGCATGTTTTCCATGAAATATAATTAAATTTTAAAGGGCATCGAAAATCAATGAGAAATTTGCATACTAATTAAGTAGTCATTTTCTGCAGAGTAAAGATCTTGCCTGCAGCTGAAAACAAGTTCTTTCGAAAGCCGACACCCTGAGGTAAGTGGGTCATTATAGATTTATGCAGCAGTATGATTAGTTCTACAACACTACTTAATTTATCTTTTCGAAACGAGATCGCATTTCGAAATTTGGTCGACATTTCATGAGTTAGCACATTTACTGCAGGTGCCCATGCAACGGTAGATTATCGGCGAAAAGTGTGAATGGGCATTAAGCCAATGACTGTGCCGTCAATGTGGTATCCTTTTATCCAAATTTGCTCGATATTATCCCTCATAATCACCAGGTGTGGGTACTGACGGGTGACAAGGAAGAGACAGCCATCAAGATCAGCCAGACAGCTGGTCATTTTTCGCGCCGCATGAAGCTGCTACGCCTGACCCAACACCAGAGCGTGGATAGTGTGGCGCGGGCCATCTATATGCACTTGAGGCAAATCCGGGAGACGGAGGCATCCAATGCGAACCCCGGTTCCCGGCGGGAACCCTTTGAGACCTCCAGCACACTGACCTCAGCGCCTTTGGAAGGCCCAGATTCTATCAGCTTCACAGCCGCCACTTGCTGCGGTGGTCGCTGGCTGGAAAAGTTGGGACGTTGGTTCAGTCAGGCAAGGATTCTCGGCCACCGTAAAGAAGGTGGGCGCTGCAACGGGCAGCGATGCCTCGGATTAGTAATTGATGGACAGACGCTGCGCTATGCGACCTCTGTAAGTATCTTCTGTCGTGAGTTATCTAAACTCTGATATGCTTGGGGTTTCCCGCGTGGAGGCGATAATTGTGCTGGCTGTTCGGAAACCAGCCAAAAAGTGATTATCTATGAGAAGTGAGTATTCCACTCTGCGTTTACAAGGCGCTAACTCCTTACATGTTGTTCCTGGAGCCATGGTGTACAGTGGTACCATGCTCTGGCAACCACAGTCAGTGAGTGATTTCATGAAATGCTGACTGAAATTCCAAAATTTGGTTTTGACTGGAGAAGAGGACTTAAGTGCGGTTCTAATACGGCATAGTTACATGATACCACAGGCAGGCTAGGACGTTGGATTTTCAATGCATTCCTTTTCGGCCGCCTACAGAATCCGCACTCAGTAAAAATGACTACTTATATGCTATGCAACCATTCTACCAATTTTCGAATTCCTCATAAATCCGCATACATTTTATAGAAAGGATGGATAAAATATTGTTTTTTTGTGTTCAGCTGGTGGCAGATCACGAATTCTTCAAATTTTATACCTGAAGGAAGGTTATCTTTCGGTTTTAAAAGGCTTGCAACTATGAAATTTTTTAGACTTTGAAATTTTCTTGCACACTGCATTGTACCTGTACGTTAATAGTAGGTTTTATGACGCATAATGCATATTTCCCAGCCACCTCAAAATATTATGAGCCCTATTTGGTATATTGTTAATGGCAATGAAAAATATATGAGTTTCCCATAAGGAAGTATGCTGCTTGTCGACAGAAAACCCATAAAGCAAATAGAACGATGGGCAGACATCAAATTATTTTAAGGATCGAAAGAAATGTTTTTTTAAATGTTAATAAATCTGTTTTTCTTAAGAACAATTTGAAGAAGACGCTGTCTTTTGTCAGCTGAATAAAAGAAAGAGTCAAAAGAAGAGGGTGCGTTCACCGGGAGGGGTTTATTGGAGGTTCGACGTTTCGAGTAGTTGGTTCGTCTAGGCATCTTCAAGACCGGAAAGTCCTGCGCACAGCTCCCCTTAAAATGGCGTCCTTTGTCCAATGCGTGATCCGCCAATGCCGCCTGTGTGGCTGCATCCAACCCCATGTCACCGTTACCCGTCGGGCCGCCCCCGTCGGCCGCAGAGATGACTGACGGCCCCGATTGTCCCGCGCCGTGACTGTCCCCCACTAAGAAGGTTCGTAAAACCAGATAGGGGGAAGGCAAATTGATGTGGTGGTTGACAGAGCGGTCGGTGGACATACAGGCTTCTTGCACTTGCCTTGCTGTGTGATCACCATCCCCGGCCCACAATCTCAACGGCGTCAAAGTTGAAGACGTGTCCCTTTTGGGCGGCATGGCTTGCTGCCTCCGACTTCGGGTCCAACCTTCGCACGGCCAACTTATGCTCGTGCATTCGCGTTTGCAGCCGTCGGCCAATTTCCCCAACGTGTTGCACCTTCCGCAGCCGCATTGAAGTCGGTAGACAACGGCCGACATCTCCTGCTTAGGAATCGGATCTTTTGGCAGCATCACTTGCCGGCGGATGGTTGAGTCAGGCCTGTGGGTAACACCTATTCCGAGTGGCGCGAGTGATCGAGCCACGGCTTCTCAGACCCCTTTAATGTACGGAATGCTCCGCCACGAGTTTGACTGACTATGCTTTTCGTTCCGTTTTTTTTGGCTGCCTCCGGTGACAGGGCGGTCGACGGGAGCGATTCAGGTCACGGTGACATGCGGGTTGGATGCAGCCACACAGGCAGCATTGGCCGGTCACGCATTGAGCAAAGGACACCATTATTAGGGGAGCTGTGCACTGGACTTCCCAGTCTCTAAAGATCGGTAAACGAATAAACTTATCGAAACGTCGGATCTCAAATAAACCCCTCCCGGTGAACACCCCCTCTTCTTTTGATATGCCACCTGGGAATCGCATTTTCACTATTATTGAAAAGAAAGAGTATTTTCTTGCATGTTTTCTTTGAACATCAAATTTTGACTGAAATTTTGAAATTTGCTTCCGACTTGGAAAGACTGGTTGAGTGGGACTGTGAGTCTGACTGCTTGCTATGCATTCCAGAAATATTTCATCCAAGCCAAGATGATGGCTTTCGAGTTCAATTCTTTTGAGTCACCTGCAAATCACGCAGTCAGTACAAATTGACTGCCTAAGTTATATTTGGTTTCTCATACAATTTCCTATGCCCTTATAGATTCAAATATATTTTATACGAACTCTCCATAAAGATCTCATATTTATACTCATCTGATAAAAAATAATGTCTGTCCTAAATGCCATGCTGACTTGTAAAACCTCCTAAAAAGGAAATGAGTACAGGGACCGCCTGAAATCGTGGCGGCTTTTAGCAATTTCTAGTGGAAATAGGGTACAACGGGATGAATGAGTTTTGCAGCATAATCAGTGAGTTCCCCCAATTATTATTAAGCGATGATATAGGTCCGACGCGAAAAAAGTGCCCTTCCCCCGGACATTTCATGCACATAATAATTTCTGAAATTAACTGCTCAAAATTGAAATACGCATACTTTTTTTACCATGAGATACATACCTGTTTTTCCTAACCAGAATGGCTGTTCTAGGGCGATTTTGAGTGAGGACCGGAGAGTTTTGCATACAGCCCGGATAAGGGGCAAGAACAAACAACATAATCATCATCATCATCATTAGGCATAATTGGCGAAACCTGTGCTTTCATGCCAGACAAAACCCCTTACCTTTTTAGGGTTCTACGCGCTGCAAACCGACTAAACGCGCGAACCGACTCTAAACAATGTGGCTATCAGCCAAACGACTTGTGTTTCATGTATTTTTGGTTACACACACACACACACGACATGTTATCAGCGTCTGTTAAAATGTGAGTGGGAATTTCCAGCTGCTTCCACGCCCTAAAGGTGGTAGCCAGTTGAGTGTGTGTGTGTGTGTTTGGATGGCAGTTGCCGCACAAAAAATAAGCACACATAGAAGTTTGGGCGTGGTACGCTGATGCTGCCTATCTTACAGCTTCTGCGCCCCGTCATCATCGTAATTTGACGAGAGTTAAGTCGTCGGATAGAACTTTTATATGGTTATACATGTCGCGAGAGAAATGGCGACTTTGAGTCAGCATGGTGGTGGCGGCACAGGCCGATTCGACCCGAAGGATCAAAAGCGGGTTCATGTTTCATCTAGGAACTCCTGTTACAGTCTTCACACGCGGTCATATGACTGCTAGTAATCAATACTCCAGAGGTATTGTTATCGGTAAAACGTCAAAGCAAATAGCCATCTGTAGCCTGAATGCCGTCGTCGGGGAAAAAACATGTTAACCGAAGACAGTACGAGGCTGAGATTTAGGCGCATATTCGGTCGAAAATTTGGTCGAATGCCCTGCTGGTTGATTTGCGGACCGAAAATTCGTTGGCTGTGAACAGGTGTTATGACCCGGAGAATGAATTAGACAGCATGGTGGCAAGTTCAAGGAACAAGGTCTTTATTGTGTGAACCTATGTAACACAAGGTTGAACGCGCTGAATATTACCTCACTACCCTCCTAAGGGTTCTAGAACACTGTGTACTTTGGCTTGACGGTCGCGGATTGAATGATTCTTGCTCGAGAATAACTACAACCTGGCCCTATCTGAGACACTAAGCTCAGGTCATCGCAGTAGATCAAAAGCACGTAAAATTTACTGTGATTACGACGATACATGCAGAGGACTTTGTCCTGCTCTCTCTCCTCTCTCTCTCATCAAGAGCCAATGGCAAATCCGCGTCCAGCTGAAGGTGTTACATTTGCTACACACACTTCAGCTCCCACCGTTTTGGGCCCGACACACCCACATGGCCTGTTTTGAAAGTCTACCTTTTTTCCCGCATTGGGATAGATGACGAGGAGGTTAAAACATATTTTATATTGACGGAAGTCCGTACGTATTACTAAGCAGTGCAATAAGCTGCTCAACTGAAATTGCAGGGATAATTAGCATTGCCAGCCAGTCCAGATTTACGTTGCAAGGGATAAAATGTCGGCACTTGGCTTAGCCTACTTGCATCCGAATGCATTGGGGGAGAGTAATGCTTGTAGAACAGCATGAAGTGCTGATAAACAGAACAAAAAATTGAGTGAAGTTGCATCATATTAATTCACTGGGAAAGGTTGTCTATTGGCGGCCTGACTCAGACCTTGCGGCCAATGCGACGTGTCCTTGGGTGGAGTAGCCGATTGGTGGAACGCGAGGAAGGCTCCATAGGGCGTCCTTTATGTAGTCTACGTGGCACTCCCACCCACATAGCATTGGAATCGCTGCCTTGCCTTCGCCAAAACCCGGTACGTCGCGTGCTGCCAAGTTGCGTTTGGCACGCGTAGACGGACCGCTTGACATTGTCGGTTCAAGTCCGCCTCCATCGCCGTTAACAATGGCCGAAATGAAGAATGACATCTCCAAGCTTACTGGTTGACAGTATTCTATTAGGCTTATTTGCGGATTTTTGCGTTTCGGCGGCCACTCTTGACACAGTGTTGAGTCAAACCACCAATCGTCGGGTGAACTCATTTTTTCCATTCACTGCCGTTTCTTTTATAAACACCCGGCCGTAAATTGCACTGAGGACGCAATCTCAAAAATCAGCCGCTAAACTGCGGCTCAATGCTAAAGTGGACAACCACAGTTATCGCCGCCTATTATAAAGGTATTCGTAAAATAATAATTCTGGAAGATAGGGTTGTCTGAAAGGTGTTCCACACCGCGGGGCTGGGTATGACTTTCAATCATACCTCATTTTAGCGGTGAACAGAGGTATTATCCTGTAACGTTACGGTGTCTATCCGAGGTCAGTGAATGTTGTTGTAACCGAAGGCATCCTATACGATGTCGATGAACACCTTGACGTTTATCACCCCTGCTGTTGAACGCGAGACCAGTCGCTCTCCGAAGTTGATGGCCATCCGAACCATCAGGCGTTGACAATTCTTGACAGTTTGTGTCGACAGAGTGTGTTCTCGTGGGACGTTCTTCCGATATATGACTACCTAGGCGGACGCCGGAGGCTTGCTAAGAAATAAGACCTCGTCACAAGAGTAAATGCTTTTCCAAAACCAAAGTCTGTGATCACTATATTTTAAAGCAAATAAAAACTTCTCTTATAAGTTTTCTACATAAGAATGGCTTTGTCATAGCGTCTTGCTGATGGAGGCCGAATTCTTTCATTCTTTTCTTATTATGCGCAAAGAAACATTGACGAGTGTTCCTTGAAAATAGCCCTATGGGGCTTATAATGATAATTTTTCAGTGTCCGACTAATGAAATCGTAATCTTGCTTGCGTGCGATAGGTCTGGTCCACCTTGCGTGGCTCTAGGCACCGTTTTATTATTAATGACTTTCCAGAGAGTAACGTGGTTAATATCGAAAATACTAGCCAACGATTCGACTGGCAGCCCTTCGGCTGGCAGTTTTCTATTCATTCAAAGTCAATTACCGATGGAAACTGTTTCGACATTTTAGTTGCACGGCGTGGCACAGAAAAGTGGCAGTATGTAGCGCGCAATCTATGTTTACGCGTTTGCGCCTATTAGTTCCCGGTGTAGTGAAACAAATGCAGTCGAACAAGCTTATTACTGCGTTTAACGACATTAAACGTTGCAATTTTGCTAAGCAGAATTTGTAAAGAACAAATTATCTTTTGTTTTATGAACAGAATGCGTGCTTACATATTTGTCTTGACCTGATTTACATGTACTTCAAATCACACTTTTCATTTCCAGGGCGGATTTCCTTGATACTTTTCTTCACTATATAAGTTTCCCTTTATCGCAACGCAAATAAAAAAGAGATAAGAGATTTTAGTCAGATATGGTTTTGTAGCCTCAACTGCATTAAACCACCCGAGGTCACCTGTAATACAGGACAGATGGTAATAGGGGGTTTTTACAGGTAGTGCCGGTGAACACACAGGCGACGAGGCCAAGTAATTGTATGCAAAATAAAATCCATTTAGAATGCGCGGTTATAGTTTAAGTGGTTGAGAAATAGTTGCTCTAGTCCCTAACAATAACCCTAGCCTCTAATTCCGACCCCTTACTTTAACTCCTATCCCTAACAGTTATGTGTTCATCAGGTGGGACCGCATAACCACATCACCGGGATTGAAATAGGTGGTACCTGCTTGAAAAGGAAAGTACTTGGATATCTGGAAACTTCGAAATATGCCTAATCTTGGCCTGTTTCCTTTTGATGAGACAAACCTAACATAAACTCTTCTTTAGAAAAGGACTTTTGGGGAGTTTTGCCACGACGTTAAACACTTCGTTGAGTCTCATCAGCGGTCAGCTGACTGCCTCGGACAGGAGAGGGAGGAGAGAGAGTGAATGCGGTACAGAGAAGGAATTCGTCTTCTAGGTATAGCAATTTATCTATCACTATAGTCAATATGAAGCGTTATCTGCCGGACAGGATGTCAGCTGCCGGGGTTACTCTGTCCTAATAAAAATTGAAGGCCAGGTTGCGAGGGTTCCCTTAAAGTGTTCACCTTGTAGCAGCTCTCGTTAATGTTGGATCCGTGAACTGTAAGAAGCGTGGTGTACGCTAGGTTGTGTGTTAAGCAGTGTGCGGAACTCGCAGAGGATCTTGTAGCTCCGTCAACTGCTGCACCAGAATTCTGGCCTGGACTAAGTCTCACGAGAGACGGGATGAGGAAGCGAGGTTCAGGCTGCAGATGTCTGATCTGCTATAATCTGCTGATGGTTTCACCGCACAGAGCAGTAGTAAATCTAGTAGTAGGTGACTTTCCAACTACCGTAAGGACGTATATGCTTCTTGATGGAGACGACATCGAGGTCCGTACTATTTTGAAGCGAAGTTGAATAAACCAAAACAACACTGTTCTAATCAGTCCGTGTATCTGTTACTGCCCCATGATAGACTTTATGCTTCATATTTAAAGAACCGTTTTCTCAAATGCATTAATTATCATGGCTTTACTACAGTAGCTTTGGAATAATGATACTGTTTTTGAGGAGCGTTGACTACAGTCAATTCTTGCCACGGAATTCGTCGGGTTTATCGCAACTGGGTCTCATAAACCTCAACCTCTGCTTAAAGGAAATCTCGCGAGTAAGAAGTGCCCGAATTTCAGCGAGGGGTTATTTCACAATTATTTATATAAAATAGGTCGGTATAAATTCACTTCATCATCGGTTGCGTAGAGTGTGTTGCCTTCTGCTTTCATCAGTCGGAGGAGCCCACAGACGATCTTCCTCACGCGTTCGCACAGCTGATCGGCATGCCCTGGTATTTCACGTAATGGTGTGCCAGATAAAAAGGCTGGAGGCAGTCAGCGATCCGTTTTCCCCCGAAGCATGGCTTTTGGCTGCTGTATGACTTTCCTTCTTACGTGGACTTTCGTAATAAAGCGCTTAAGCCTTCCTCTTACTGCGTGGGTTCGAATTCCGCCGAGGCGCCGACTTTTTCACAGATGGGTCAATAGGCATTATTAAAAATCTGCCGAAATATCAATGAATTACGCGAGCCTGGTAGTCATCTGGTGGATTTTAGGCGAATTACTTAGGAAATCCTGCTTGGGCAGTCAACTTACTGTATCAGATTTGGTAGATTCCAGATGTTGCAGTAGGTTGGACGGGTAACTTGACCCAAATGTGATAAAACTCGCGTCGTCCGGCGGGGCCTCGTAGCTCAGATGGTTTGAGCGTTGGCTGCGCTAAAGCCTTCCCCTTACTGCGTGGGTTCGAATCTCACCGAGGCGCCGAGTTTTTCACAGTTGGGTCAATATGAATTATTGAAAATCTGCCAAAATATCAATGAAAACCGTTCTTAGTCAGTAAATGTGGAGCTGATTCATTTGGGACTCAGTTGAAAGCCTTCATACTGATTATGTGAAACGACACCATCTCATGAGCTGACAAAGGCTGTTTCAAAACATCAAGCCTGTATTGATCATCCATGGTATAATCAGCAAGTCTTCCCACAAGTGGGACTTGTTTCTCGGCATCACCCGCCCTACTTTAAAGAGATTCAGTAGGCATAATTTTGGCAAAAACCGCACAGCACAGTTCATCAACCAGCGTCTAAGAAGGACAAAATTTCGTCCTGTAATTTAACAATCTGCTCTTTGAACTAAGGATGTACTGCGCCGAGATTTCCTGCGACTCTGTCTGGAAACGTCGACCGTTCTCTGTTGTCGCCTAACGCCCTACCAGAAGGCAGCTGTAGTCAAACTGGTCGCCGAAGGCATGAAGGACGTGACTGGACAAAAGGCCCCTGTCACAGCTGCCGTCGGCGATGGAGGCAATGATGTTGCCATGCTATTGCAGGCCAATGTTGGGATCGGCATTTTTGGTAATGAGGGCAGACAGGCTGTTCGTGCCGCAGACTACGCTGTTCCACTGTTCAAGTGAGTTTGAAGTAGTATAGGTGTAGTTCATTTTTCGTCAAAATAAAATTTCTACTGATATTTTCTGAAGTTCCACAGTGTATGGATGTTGAAATTGGAGGTGTTTTCAACAAGGATACAAGGAAAGGCCAATACCTGCACTTATTAAGATCTGTGCCGATACATCGAAGGCGAACCTTGGTTTACACTCTATTCCAACGGGCAAGTAACATTTGCTCTATTGAAAGGCTAGACGATGAAATTTCTTGCCTCAAAACAGCTCTGCTTAAATAGGGATACCCAACACGGTTGATCGACAGTATAGCAACACTTCACGGCCAAAATTGACCGAGCAATCAGTTCCGTAAAAGCCCGTTGTAATGCCCTTACTCTCCAAGGGCGACAACATCCCAAAAACCATCAAGCGGTGATTAAGATGAGCCATTGAAAGAATATACAACGCAGCTGAGCTCATATTCTACAGCTCTAATAAGGTTATTCGAGTTCTACGGGCGAAGGATGCCTTGCACGCCACGTCAAATTGTGTTTACGAATTTACATGCACTTGTGGATGTAAGTACACTGAGCGAACGCAAAGACAATTAGCAGCCAGGTCAGTTGATCACCTGCCTAAATGGCTTCTTAAACAGGAGACTAAGATTTCATAGTCTTATATTACAAAACACCTCCTTGATAGCGGTTATTCAGTTGACCTCAAAACATATTTTCGAGTATTATTTCGAGCACGAACAACTCGGTTACTGCGCCATTTGGAGGCAGCCTACATAAGGCGGGAGAAACCTGACCTATGTAAACAGTTAGAGCACGTGGCCAACCTCAGTTTGCCCTGGTAGATCTGAGCTCTTTGATTTACGAAATCCCCCGGCGTGCTAACTTTCCCATTTTCTTTCCTATGTTGCGTTTTCAACTTACTCTTTAATTGATTAGTCTACGTGCAGTATACGATGAGCATGCTCTTTTACCTTGATTTTCTCTGTGGAGGTTTAAACCTCTGTATCTTTCTCACTTGTTATCTGTGTTATGCAATGACAGGCTGTAGTTGATAAGCCGTCGCGAAATTTATTGGTTCTAATAAATTCTGCTGTCTATGCCTGTTTTAAAGTAGTAATTCACTTTTCGACAACATAGCATTTCTACTGATATTTTCTGAGGTTCCACGGTGTATGTATGTTGACATATGACACTGCGACTTACGACTCCGGCCATATCCACCGTGGTGTGCCCCTTAACAGGTTGGGAACAGGGACGGTGACTTGCGTGTTGATTAGTAGTTAAAGACTTGCGCAGCATCTGCTGAACTCCCCTCGCTCTCTCCCTCCCCAACCTGGAAGTCATAGGCACAACGTGGACCCGCACCTAGGTGTGCCTCCACACCCTCTGGTGCACGCATAACGGACCGGGACTTCACACAATCTGAAAATGGCGGAAGGGCTACTCGGATCCCAAGTGAGTGTGTGAGAATGCGTGCCGTCCGTCCGATACTATCGTCGAGTCAAACCCCATGTTGGAAGGAGAGGACAGACGGCACCCGAATGAGGGTTTTATTGTGCACAGAGCCCACAGTTGTCCTCTCAGGCGGCAGTGGCCGCTGGCGAAGTGTCGACTGCGTCCAAGCATACCTGAGCGTCCTTGAGACAGTGGTGGCAGCCGCTTTGGTAGGCTTGTGGGCCAAGCTCAAGTGGTGGCCAGTCAGTGTGTGTTGCATTTGCCGAGGGGTGGTGTCCCAGTGGCTTGGGTTGTGGTTGCAGGGGAGTGGGGTGCGTTCAAGTGACCTCATGGGCAGATGCGGCTGTGCGGACGCAGGTATGCCCGAGCTGTCGGTTGTTTGACTCTATAGGTCAGCGCGTCTGGAACGGCTCACTGCAAAGGCTTGAATGACCTTGAGACAGCGAGTTCTTGAAAAATGACGCCAGACCCACTACAAGCGTGAGGGCTGTTAAGCTCACATTAAGAAGAGGCCACATCAGCCAAAATCTAGCAGCCTGCACACCACGACTGGGGAATAAAATTAAGCTTGCGCCCCTTGACTTTGAAACTTCCTTACACATTGGTAAAGAAGACGGTGGAATTTCCTGTGGGTTTGTGCGTGAATCTACCGACGAGCAAAATTTTAAAGTTCAACTTAAACGACTTCGTCTACGTAACGGCGCCAAAACACTGGTTCGCAGACGACACGTTCGTTATCGTAAAGAAGGACATGCTGCAACATTTCCACAGCCTGTTCAACGCAGTCTTACCTGATATAAAATTCACGAGGGAAGAAGAACAGGAACAGCAGTTGCCCTTCCTGGATGTACTCGAAACCTTAACGGTGAACTTGAAACGACTGTTTATAGGAAGGATACGAACACCACACAGCTTCTCAGTTTTCACAGCAACCATCCGGTGGCTCACAAACGAAGGTGTGGGAAGACGCTCTTCAAACGGATCCAAAGTCATTGCAGCAAACCGGAGGACAGAGCACGTGAGGCCCGTTATATCCGTGACCAGTTTGTGCAAAATGGCTATCCGAGGGCATTCATAAGTCGCTGTCTACGCGGTCGCCACCAGAGAACTCGAACATCAACGCCACCGACGATATGGCATTCTCTGCCATAAATCAAGGGTGTTTCAGAAGCTACCGAGAGCATTGCTGCGGAGCTAGGTGTTGGAATTGCACACCGCCCCAAAGCCACCATGCGCAGCAGAGTCACGAAAATCAAAGACCGGCTAAAACCTGAAGAGCAATCTGGAGTAGTGCATCGCACTCCGAGTTAAAATTGTCCTTGTAACTACACAGGACAGACTGGACGCATGCTTGGATCGCGCATACACGAACATAGGCTGGCTGTGCGGCGAGGCGACACATTATCACAAGTGGCCGCCCACACCTACGAAATGGGTCACGAGTTTGACTTCGCAGCCACCAACATAGTCGCCCACGCCGGAAACAAGACAGGCCGAGAATTGATTGAAGCCTGGGCCTCGGATGAAAACTCGGTCAATCAATTTATCGATCTGACGCCAGCGTACAGAGCCCTTCGTAATCACCTCCAGCCGTGCGACGTCGGTCGATGATTGGGCCTACGTGCCTTATAACTGTCGCCTATCCTGTTTCTGCTACTACCTCTGACGATGGACTCCTATACGAGTCTGAAGGCTCAGGATAATAAACGAAGTGTTCCGGTGCTCGACTCTTCTTCGTCTTCACTTATGCATACACCTGGAACTCGAAATTTCGCCTTCATTTTTAAAGAGAATTTGGCGAGTATACGCGTGCTTTCGATGAATTCTCATCAGGCCTGAACATTTACATGGGAACGAGATACAGACTGTAACGTGTGTGCGATAAGAACAATCGATCGAGGTTCGCCTTTTCATGCAAACGGGGTATGTGAACTGAGGCGAGGAAAGAGAGGGGAGAGGAGGCGGTAAGGGACAGTGAGGCTTGGGAAAAGCCGTGTCACAGGGGGGGAGAGGGGACGGGGTCGCGAAAACAAGCATGCGGTTAATCGATACTTGCCCACGGCAGACGCAGAGAGTGTAAAAGGTACTTTTGCTTGCACAGGACCGCCCCCTGTAGCCTGACGGCAGTCGCTTCTTTCGTTTCTGGTAAACGCTGACCCAGACGCTTGGCATAGTTAGGCGAGACCTTGCAAATCCCACAGAAAGCTTCGTTGGGACCCACACGATGTCCAGTATCAACCACGTGTGCGAGGAGGGAGCTGTGTATGCTCCTACCTTCACCTTTCCTCAGCCACGCCGACCCGTACGACCAGTGTGGCCCGCTCCACGGGGGCAATTAAAGGAGTAAATGCACATGGGTGTGGTCTGAGCTGGTAGCTCAGCCTTACCTTCCTCTCGTAATATGGGATTGGTCGAAAACAATACTTGAACTCTTGCTGCCGGGAAGGTTCGGGAAAAGGCTTGGTCAAGGCGCCTTCTCAGGAGTTGGCTTACCGCGTCTCCTTGAAACGGGGACTTTGGGGAACAGGGTTCTCTTTTCTGCCGACTGCCACAGAGGCCGGTCCTGTGCGCGCAGAAGAACCTCATGCACGCTCCGCGTCTGCCATAGGCTGAGATCGATTAATTGTAAGCCTGTTTCTGCTCCCCTTCCTCCCTTGTGATACTGCTCTACTTAACCCTCACTGCCACTTACTGCCTCCCCTCCCCCCTCCCCCCTCTGTTCACATATCCTCTTTTCATGAAAAGATGAACCGTAATCGATTGCTCTTATGACTCACACGTTTCAGTTTGTACCTCGTTCCCATATAAATGTACAGACCCGTAGAGGATTTATCGAAAGCACGCGTATGCTCGCCAAATGCCCTTCCGAATTGCTTCAAAGGCATTTTCGCAAAAATAGTAAAGTTTAAGCAATGTAGGTCCCTTCCTCTCGCATGCGAAGGACACAGCCACAGACAAAAAGCATAGGTGATGGAATAACAGGAAAGCTACGGCGCACACTGGAGTGTTGTTGAGCAGTCAAATATCTTGAGGTTACACACCGGAGATATGGAAAATGACCGTAGCATATGTTGGGTATTTGCTGAATACCTCTGCTGTAATAGGCTGATGCGAGTTTCCGAACTGAGTGTAGTCTTCATATTACTAGAATTAATAATCCGGGTGATTTCGTGAAAGGTTTTTACGAAAAACTATCTTACGCCGTTCTTAAACAGCGTCGGCTCTTATAAGTGGGTAAATTTGAACCATCATCGTCATTATAAGGTGTCCTCGCACGACTGAGAAGCGGCCCCCTATCTCCTCATTTATAAAAAATCTGAAATAGGACCGAATATTCAGTAATTGCAGTTCTACTGGCCGCATTAATTTCCCTATTTTAATTAACCCACTGTAATTAAAAGATTCTCTATTTATTCGAAAGATTAGCTAACATCCATTTATGAGAGAAATAAAGACAGTCTGGAACTGGCAAAGGAACCAGAATTTGTTGTTTTGATTGACGATATAGCGTCAAAATAGACGGTCTGCGGGTGAAATTTATTTAAACAGATGTGGGCGTGTGAGAAAATACGACTACAACGTGGGCGGCTTTGTTTTTCCTTGACGCCATTGCTGATTTATTTGGATTTTGAAAATCCCCAAGAAGCTGTGATGCAGCGTGGTTCAAATAAACACTTTTTTCTACAAATCAGCCGATGGCACTTTCATTGGATGAAAAGTGCGGTTTCTCCACATCCGTCTTTCCGTACGCATGCACTGCATCAACGAGACGGTTTTCGCTGTTCTTGAGCAAATCCTATTAAAAATAGCATCTTCGCATCATAAAGACATCGGGTTTAGGCTTTTCCAATTTTTTTTTCAATGCGCCCCACTAAATCACCCGGGTGTCAAAAATAGCGGAAGCAGAATACGGCAATCCAATGAGAGACAAACCGGAAATTTGAGGAAGCATATGCTACTTAGTAACTTATAGTAGCTCCTCTACGTTAACTAAATGAGCGCCGAATAGACTGTTTTACGAGTGTGCAAATTAACAGGGGAAAGATATGTAACAGTGAAAATTAACTGCAGGGCTAGGGCATAGCTGCCTACTAGCAACCCATAAGAAATCACCTAGTGAGTTACTTGTATTACATAGTGAAAGTCGTTCTTTATGACCTGCATTAAAAAAGTTTTAGCATGTCTTATTTACCGTGGCATTTCACACGTAATTCGACAAGGAAAGAAGCCAAGTAAATTCCGAGCTATCGCTTACTAACAGTCAGAGATCGCGTGGTTAACTGACAAAATCTAGACATTTGACACAAATTTGTCCTTCGAAGAAGGCAATCCTGCGTCCGTTTGTCCTGCCCGGCTGACTGTGTTAACATGTAACACTCGTAGAGAACTCGTAGGTTACCTGACAACTGCATAGTCGCCTGACTGTATGTAATGCAACCGATCCGAATCCCAGTATAAGGTGACGTATTTTGGCAAATTTGTCACTTTTAGTACTGTCGGTTTAGGCTGTACGCGTACCTATAAATTCAGTTTCATGACACTGTTCCGAGGTTTCTGAAGAAAGATATGTTTGAACGTAGACGACCTTATAAAGGATTAACATCCATTGGCAAAATTCCCACTAAAGACTTACTAATAACATAAGGTTCCAGTTATTTGAACCGGTTTAAAATACCCCGCAGTGGAAACGGTAGGCTGAAGGGCCACAAATAGCTGTTGGTTGACTGTCGGCCGTGGCATAGGGGATTGGTTTTACCGCCTTCCAGGGTCTTCTACCTGCCAGGATTTTTCCACCCTGTGATTATTTAAGTGAACAAAGCAGTCGCCTTTGGACAGATCCTCCCCGAATCCACAAACTACGAAGTAACCGCCTACCTGCAGAGGTGGCCGCGATGCACCCCTTTCAGCATGTGCCAACAGGCCTGTAAGGCACCTGCAGTCGAAGGAGGACTCGTTGACACGTGACTGTTCGACTCCAATAGGGCTCGCACAGGTCTACACTCACCAGCGTATCATACAGCAGTCATACTCCTAACACCAATTATGAAAAAGAACGCGTCGCGGCCAGCGTTATCGTCTGTCTCGCCCAGGGAGATGCCTAAAGGCTCCTGGCAGGACTTGCACGCGTCCACACTCACTAACACGTCGTCAGCACACTGTCCGGCTTGGTATCCCATCCCCCAAAATTTGCCATCACACCAATCCCATATGACACGATACACAGGCTACCCATAGCTAATTGAGATTCTTCGGGAAAGTTGGTAATTTCATAGATAAGATGTGGTTATGTAGCCTCACCTGATGAACACAATATTGTTGGGGTTGATGCTAGGGGTTAGGGGTCCGACTTAGAGTAAGGGTGTTTAGGACAAGTATTTCTCAACCACTGAAATCACAACTGCTCATTCTCAATAGCCTTTCGGCAACGGTATAAAGAAGGACCCCGCTTAACTGTCAGTAGACTGCCGATCGTGCCATGCGTGATTTATGGTAAGGGGAGTTTTATGGATGCGGCAGAACGCTAGATTGCAAGCTGGCAAAATAAAAAAAACACAGGAGTTGCCTGGATTCATGCCGAAAGTCTTACCCTACGCTATTTTACGACAACGGAAGTGGGAGTAGTAGTAAAACAAAAAAAACAAAATGTAAATTACACAAAAAACGGATTTTGAGTTAAGGTGTGAGGTAGTGGGAAGTAATCGCTGTTAGCAGTGTGCTTTCCGTAACAGCTTGCAAATGTGTGCCACGGTAAAGCCCCATATGACACGATCCACAGTCTGCTGACAGTTAAGTGGGACCGTTCTCTATACCTTTGCCGACACTTCAACCTACCGTTGTCCCTCAGAGACTTCCCACATTGTAGTACAAGTTAAAAACTGTTTTTTACTCAACAGACACCTGCGTAGACTGCTTCTGGTCCACGGACATTGGAATTACTACCGGATGAGCCTAATGGCCCTCCTCTTCTATCACAAGTGCATCGCTCTGGTTGCAGCCCAGATCTACCAACTTGTCTTTAGTGGATTCTCCGCTCAACCCCTCTACGACAGTCTCCTCTATGCCCTCTACAACCTCACCATGACCTCCTGCAGCATTTGTGCGTTTGGACTCTTTGAAAGACATCTCAACGGGACCGACCTCATGCGCTATCCCTTCCTCTACAGCCTGGTAGGTTGCCGGTTCTGCTGGAAGCAATTCGTTCTTCAAGGGCTAAGATGTTTGCGACTTGCAAATAAGCGCTTTCCACTGAGAAGTCTGACTAACGGTCTAATAGCATTAAAGCCCTTGTGGGTTAGCTGTGGTTATGTAGCCCCCCTCCCCCTGAAGTAAACCAGCCACCTCTAATAAGGGACCGGTTGTAATAGGGGTCGGGGAACGCACAGGTGACGATGTCGAGTAGTTATATACAAAGGAAAAGCCGTTTGGAATGCGAAGTTGTAATTTGAGTGGTTGAGAAATAGATGTTCTTACCTACTGACTCAAGTCCCTAACCCTAACCCTTTCACAAGGTTTCTAAAGAAAATTCGACGTTTTTGCTTTTCTGCGACCTTAAATACTTCCTTACAACCTCGCTCTAACTTCCGGCAACTATCTAAACACGTTATTCATCCCCCAAACGGACGTCTGTTCCGCTAAGGTCGTAATTTATTCTTCAAAGCCGAAGAGGCCTGTAAACATACCGAGAACTGTGGTTATCTAGTGTGGTTACCCCACTCTAAACCATTCGTTTCGTATGGAGACGGCTTAGTGCAGCCAATTGGAAAATTCGCAAGTATATACCGATTTTTAGACGGGCCTTTTTAGATATGCATATGCCTTTCTAAAATATCGCTTACATCTTAGCAGCAAAAACAGCTGCACAATGTCAAATGACCGAAATACTCCTGTAAATTATATCATCCACATTACATGGGACACACTCTCCTACGAGGGTACTATGGAAAATAAATGTTTTACGTATCTAATATCAGAAATATGATTTTGTTGATAGAAGCGAACAGGCGAGTCCCAGGTAGCAGTTCCGAAGATGAAGATGCGATCACTGGGACAAGAAGTTTATTTGCCTGACGTTTCGGATTCACACTCGAACCCATCATCAGAGACATTCGCAGATAGAGGTGAAGGTGGCACCAGGATTGCAGTATTTATAGCACGTGGCTGCCGTGGGACCGTATGCGCACTGCAATTAACAGTTCTCACAATCGCCGCTGGGGTCGTAATTGATGCGGCGGTGGCTTGGCGGTCCGAGTCCGAGTTGTTAATTGCCGCGATTTCGTCATCCGTGCTCGATGCTGGTGTGACGATTGCTCGGCAAACTGGCTCACTGTCACCGTGATAATTGCTCACCCGCGCCCTCCCCACGTGACTGATTCTCCTGCCCAGGGAAAATCGCAAAACGGAATAGGCCACCGGGAGGTCATTGTGTTTGTTGATGGATTGCGGGCCTGAGAACCATGACTCGAGCAGCTCGCGGCTCACGCGGTTGTCAGCCCTTGCGAGGATTTCGGCCTCTTGAAATTTGAAATTATGGCCGGGTCCCGTCGAGTGTGCCGCCACCTGAGAGTTAGCGTCTCCCCGCCTCACTGCTGCTGCGTGCTCGGCAAGTCGCGTACGGAGTAATCTCCCAGTTTCTCCGACATAATTGCTTTGTCCGCAACTACACCAGATCCGGTAAACGACTCCAGACGTTTCCTGCCGTGGCAGCGGGTCTTTTGGCCTCATTACTTGGCGCCTAATGGTTGCTTCCGGCCTGTGTGCAACCCCAACTCCAAGTGGAGTGAGAAGACGACTGACGGCTTCCGAGACGTTCTTCACGTACGGAAGAGCCCGCCAAAATTTGGGGTTAGTTGGATTTGGTCTCTGGTGTCCTTTTCGTATGCACTGGTTGACAAAGTTGCGCGGGTAACCATTGGCTCTCATTACCCGTCGAAGATATTGTAATTCAGCAACCTTGTCTTCCATTTCACTGCAGTGCGTCTCAACACGCCGGTATAGCGCCCTTACGCAACTGCGTTTGTGACTGATCGGGTGGTTGCTATTGAAGTTCAGTATTTGCGTCGTATTTGTCGCTTTCCTGAACACTTTGGTTTTTAGGCCACCACAATCTTTGCGGCAGACGAGGACATCCAGGAAGGCCAGCTGATTGTTTTCCTCCTCCTCCATCGTAAATTGAATGTCCGGGAAGACGGCGTTGAGTTGTTCTATAAATACTGCACTCCTGGTGCCACCTTCACCTCTATCTGCAAACGTCTCTGATGATGGGTTCGAGTGTGAATCCGAAACGTCAGGCAAATAAACTTCTTGTCCCAGTGATCGCATCTTCATCTTCTAAATATGATTTTATTCGCACAATCTCTTTTAAAGCCCAAAAGAAGTGCACAAGACTTTGGCAGCCATTTCCGAGTCGAACTTATATGAGTGGCTGAAAGGGGGTTCAATCAAAGACCAACATTCCTCTTTTTCGATGCAGGCAGATAAGGGCTCGACCGCTGAAGCCCCTATCTTCTCATTCTAGTGGATTGATGACTCTGGGATTAAGTTTCCTATTAATGAATACCGCCACCCCAACTGGGCTGCCTTCTTATTTTCATCATGTGGTTCATGTTTTATGACGCTTGGCGCGTTGTGTGGCAAATCTAGCAATGGGTGGGGCGTTGGCATATGTTTCTGCATTGCCAAATGTGCCCCGTTTGATGCCAAACATTTTTCTGTCCTACAGACATTTTATTCTTAGAATGAGGGGGTGGTAGATGATAATTCTGTATTTTTAACCCAATGACGTCCTCAGAGGTGGTCGTGAAACTTTATTTCCCCTCTTTCTGATACCTTAAGGCAATAGCCATTTAGCTGCTAGAGGTGGCATGATATATTTCTATTGTAGCCCGCGCCGCATCAAATGCAGGCCAGTTTATGGATTAGGTTGCAGAATGAGTCCAGCTTAGGTGCGCCAACTGGGTGGTTGTTTTTGTCTCTCCTACTCCGTACATGAAGTGAAATAGACTTAAAAATAAATTCTGTTCGTAAATTTGGAACCTGTAGCGTTACGCAGTAAACACTACGACTGAACAAGCGGCTTGACGTTGAATTCCAGGGGGGGGGAAACTATTATAGTGTGATAACTTTAAGTGTTATTTTAATGCCAAAATTAACCCCAACTCTGAACCTCCTATCCTTACCATAAACCATAACCATAACACCCTGGAATTTAAAGATAGACTACCTGTAATTCTGGGAGACATAATCTCCTGTACAATCGAGGTAATGACACAAAAGTAAGGCCAAAGATTTACGTGGAGGCAGTCTTTATGCGGCGGGAGAAATCGGACCTATGTAAACAGTTAGAGCACGTGGTCAACCTCAGCTTGCATCGGTAGATCTGAGCTCTTTGATTTACGAAATCCCCCGACGTGCTAACTTTCCCATTTTCTTTCCTATGTTGCGTTTTCAAGTTACGCTTTTATTGATTAGTCTACGTGCAGTATACCATGAGCTTGCTGTTTTACCTTGATTTTCCCTGTGGAGGTTCAAACCTCTGTATCTTTCTTACTTGTTATCTGTGTTATGCAACGACAGGCTGCAGTGGATAAGCCGTCACGAAATTTACTGGTTCCAATAAATTCTGCTGTCTATGCCTGCTTTAAATTTATTAAGGGTAAATATTTCTTCAAGTTTCAAGATAATAGTTATCAAAAGTTTCAGAAGCGACATTTCTACCTCTCCAGCCGAGGCATTGTTTCCTCCTCGGATGAAACAACATAATGCCGGTTCTGTCCGAATCCGTGGGCATCTGTATCTTGATCTGGCGCAGTCGAGCGGATAAATCGGCATTTTTATGATGGCAACTGAGGACGTCTTTAGTTTGAATAGGTAAAATAAGAACTGACAGCGTATCGGGTCACTACAGTCAGTAACCGATTTCTTAAAATGTTAATAGAAATTCTCGTAGGTGTCGGATACGTTCTTCTGAGTTCGGCCACGCACTGTTACTGCAATTTATTGACAATGGATTAACCCAAATGAGGTTCGCTTCGGCAGCATCGCACTCCTGTGAATCCTACCATCTTATCCCCGCAGATGAGTCGAAATGCCAACTACAGGCCCTGGTACGTTCTGCTTTGGTGCCTGGACGGTTGGTGGCTGGGCAGTGTCTGCTACTTTGTCGGCTATTTCATCCTCGTCGGTGGGGCTGCCTACGCTGAGGCCACATTTCTGCTGGCTGGGACCTCCTATGCCGGTGTCGACATTGACCTCTTCGGCACGGCGATATTCCTCTTTCTCACCATTGCTGTCAACTTCCGACTCTTTGTCATCACTCGAACCTTCACGCTGGCTCTGATAATTGGAAACCTCGCTTTCGGGATCGGCAACTTTGTTGTCACCTTTGTTTATCAGGTAAAGTCCCCTTTTAGGCATTCCGGCACACTTATTAAGACATAAAGGAGGAGACTGAGAGTGTTTGGCATGAGAAAGAAGAGTTAGGCCGTGACCCTGGCCCTAAACGGCCCCGAATGCTTCCCTTATCCAAGTTGTCGCAATCAGGACAATCCGTTTTTTGAATAAGTAGGTACTACCCCGCTACCTCCTGCCAAGCGAGGGACATTTTTTGAGTCTAAAGTTGGTAAACTAACTCATGAAATCTCAACAGAAATTCCGAAATGCGTTTCCATTTAGAAGAGATTAATTATGTAGGTTTGCAAAACCAATTATTTTTTAGCATAATTTTATAATCATTCAGTTAGCCCAGGGCACCGGCTTTAGAGCAAACGTCTTTTCGGCTGCATCCAAAAACCATAATTAGTAAAATAATGACCATTAAAGTAACGCGCATTTTTGTCATTGGTTTTCGATGCACCTAAATATTCAATTTTATTTCATGGAAACCAAGCACCAAATATTCATTCCTCTGATCGTTTGATAGCAAATTACTTCTTATTCTTCCAATTTTATACTCAAAGGAAGGCAATAATTCAGTTTTAAATGGTAAAAATATGGATCAAATTCACTGCATAATTTTATGAACCCTATATGGTCCTCCTTTGTTACCGTAGGGAAATGTGTGGTTTTCTGTAAGCGGAAAATATACGGCTTGTAGTTTGGAAACCTTCACTCCAAGTGTAACGCTAGAGCGGATCCAAAATTATTCGGAAATTTGAAAAGTTTTTGAAAACCGAATTATACCCTTCCGTCGAGTGTAAAATTGAAAAAAAAGATATAATTATCTACCGAATGAGCAAAACAATAAATATTTTTTGCATGTTTTCAATGAAGTAGAATTGAATCTCTAAGGACCTCGAAAATCAACGAAAAAAATGCGTGCTAATTAAGGCGCTTGTTTGAAAGCCGGCGTTTTGAGGTAACTTATTTATTATAGAATTATACTGAAGACTGATTAGCTTTACAGCCCTACTTTATTAATCTTTTCGAAACGGAAACACATATCTGAATTTCTGTTGAGATCTCTTGAGTTAGCCCACTTACTGTAATTGACAGATGTGCTCCTTTAATCAAGAATTTGGACGAAAAAGAGACCAAAAGTTACGAGAATTCACTTAGAATGAATGCCCGATTTGAGTGGGAAGCGTTTGAACATTGACTGTTTACTATCTGGCTCATGCCTACTGCCTTGCGGCAGCGTGCGCAAAGAGCGTCCCTCATATTACGGCGGCATTGTGCTACATTCCAGGAGGGGTAGGTTTAGTGTTGGGGTTAATGTTAGGACTCCGAATTCGACGCAAGGCCACTTTTAATACGGAGGTTCATCCTGCCTTCCTTCACATTCTGTCGAGTTTTGTCGAGCAATTTGGGAACTCATTAAGTATGCCGTTGAAGCGGGAGAGAAGAGACAGAGAAAACACCAGCTACGAGCATTTCGACGACAGCCATTCAGAGGAAATCTTTTCAACTCATCAACGTGACCCAGATTCTTGATACGAATCAAAATACTCATATAAACGTACAATCATCTTGATTTGTGCAAATTATCATGACATACGTCAGTTTACTCCCGAAGAAATTGTCAAAAGACTATGGTCATTGGATCGTATATTCAAATAGTTTAACAATATTGGTCCAACTGTGCAAACATTGACGACTCGGTTGGATTCGAACCCACGCAGTAAGGGGAAGGCTTTAGTACAGCCAGCGCTCTAACCACTTGAGCTACGAGGCCCTGCCGGACGACGCGAGTTTAATCAATTTGGGTCAAGTTACCCGCCCAACCTACTGAAACGCCTAGAATGAATTATTAAACATCTGTCAAAATATCTATGAATTACCTGAGCCTGGTAGTCATCTGGTGGATTCTAGGTGAATTACTTAGGAAATCCTGCTTGGGCAGTCAACTTACTGTATCGGATTTGGTGGATTCCAGACGCTGCAGTAGGTTGGATGGGTAACTTGACCCAAATGCAACTGAACTCGTGTCATCCGATGGGGCCTCGTTCCTCAAGTGGTTAGAGCGTTGACTGTACTAAAGCCTTCCTTCTTACTGTGAGGGTTCGTATCACACCGAGGGACCGAGTTTTTCACAGTTGGCTCAATATGAATTAATCAAAATCTGCCACAATATCTATGAAATAATTTATTGGTAGAAAGACCAACGATCTGGGCAGAATTCGAGCCTGCGACCTTCCAACCTGAGTTAAGAAGACCTGACACACGGTCATGCGATTTTCACATTTGAGCCGCCCCTCGCTTGTGTTAGAGCTGGTGCAGTCTATACGCCGCAGGGTTTTAGACGGCCGCCTTAGCCAACGTGAGCAATTCTCAGGGCTTTGGAGCGGAGTCATTTAGCTCAGGTGTCTAGAGCGCGGTCGTACTGAAGCCATACCCCTACAAGATCGGCTGTTACTCCGGCTCGGCCGCAGAGAGCTGCACGATAAGGTTCGTGGAACCACTCAAATCCGTCAAAAACACCTGTTAGATTCCATTCTTCCCAGATCTTTTCTGGAGTAAGAAGTAGTTATGAGCTCTGAAAATTGTGGTTATTGTTATTCTACTGAAACGGTATTTGTTAAAGCTTTGGAATTTGAATTAGCAACGCCGGGAAAAACAGGGGGGTGGGGCAAGCATACAGTAAAACTCTGACAAAATTTGAAAAATCCAGGTCTTTGCTTGAAACATAAAGGTTTATATTTGTACAGGATGAATAATAACTACAAACTCGTTATAAATAATTATGGGGAGCAGTTGTCTCAGTTAGTAGGGAAAACCTGCAGTAGCTGACTTAATCCACAGCTTAGTGACTTAAGTTCGGACATGTGCTTTTAATGTGACAAAATGTATTAAGAATGGATCGGAATTTCGACTACCATACCGTCTAGACCAAAGTTATTACGGTGCGTTGGAAGTCGGACTTTCGAATGAAGTCCTATCCGGCCTTCTGCAGAAGTACCACTGGGTAAAAATAGCTACTTAACTGGCAGGAATTGTTCTCACTATCTGCCGATTTTCTTTTAAGTTCAAGCATAGAAAAACGAGCTCATCATATTTCACCCCGTATTGATTTGGCAGGTCACGTCTCCTTAAAATTTTGTGTGTACGAAAACTGTTATCTATCGATTTCAAAAACTGTTTTTAATTCCCAGGTAATTTTGAACTCCGTTTAGTAAAAAAGTACCAGCTTAATATTCTTTGTGCAAATTTAGTCAGCCCTAAATTCAGGTGTAACGGTTGGAGAAAGGGGTTTAACATTATTCGGAAATTGGAAAAGTTTTTAAAAACCGAATTATACTCTTCCTTCGAGTATAAGATTGGGAGAAGACGCAATTGTCCACCGAATGAGCAAAAGAATGAATATTTTTTATGCATCCTTTCCATGATATAAAATTAAATATTTAAGGTGCATTTAAAATCAATGAGAAATATTCATTCTATATAAGTAGTCATTTTTACAGAGTGCAGTTTTTCCATGCAGTCGGAAGGAAGTTCCCTCAAAATTGACATCCTGTGGTAACTGAAATATTAAAAAACTATGTTGCAGGCACACTAGTTTTACAATCCTAGTTCATTAAGCTTTTCGAAACGAAAACGCATTTCGGAAGTTTGGTTGACATTTCAGGAGTTAGCCCACCTACTGTAAGCGGATCGGTATGATGCATTTTGAAGGAAATTTAAATGTCGTTGCCTCTCCACAGTCTCGGTAGTAGTTTAACGGCAGTCTTGCCTAAAAGATTAGCATTCGCACACCGACATTTTTTTCTGAGAAAACTGGAGATTGGAGACCAGAGACATCCCCATGTGAAGTGGCGTCTTCTGTCTCCCTTTTCAACGATTGGTTCCTGGAACTTCACAGATTTCCCATACGCTGGTATGACTATCAGATTGGGATACGGCCAGTCATCACCTTAAACCAGCGACTTGCTCACACTCGTCTTATGTGTCTGAATAGTCAAATCAACCCACTGTCAAGGCACCAGTCCTGGTTGGTCTAGCATGCAAAGTGAAAATGTTCATGAATGTTTCATAATTGTTCTTTGTAAGACATAAGAAGCTAGGTGGTCGCCTTAATTGCCCGTTGTCAATTTTCTGCCGAACACTCTCATCTACTGTGTCCAGCCGGGGTAGAGATACCCCTAGACATTAAACGCATCTTAGCAATGCACAGATCCCCCCATTTGACCTCGGAATTCAATCCGACCAAAACATCATCCGACCAAAACTCTTGTATTCGAGGGGCGCTTAGTGAACCTTAAGATATGGCATGCGTTATCCGCATTATTCTGTCTTATCACTAGCCACGATTACCCCACTTTATTGAAAACCCCCTTTGCCTTCATTTCTGTACCCAGAGAGTGACTAGTTCGAGTTCAGCCTTCTACATGAACCTCTCCTATCTGGCTCTCTGTCCAGCTTTCTGGTTGGCAATACCGCTAACCCTAGTCCTCGCTCTGCTGCCGGATCTGCTCTGGAGACTGGGATCGGATATTTGGTGGGCTCAGAAGATCAGCCTGAGTTCTGAAAACGGCCAACACGGAGTTCTGAGCACAAGTCCTGGACCTGGCTTCGCAGAGCTTTAAGCAACTTCCACACAACCTCACATACAGACACGCAGGACTAAAAATGCACGTAAGCATGTAGGCACTTTATTCGCTCCTGTTCAAAGCCCAAAGACACTCTGCCCAAAAACTTCGCCTATCCCAAGGTTATCTTCAGACGAAAGAAACGTCTAATTACTTTGAAACATGTGGTGTTCAAGACCATTAATCAGGTCTGATTGTTGGATGGCATGTAAACGTGGTGCATTGATTTGAAGCTCTAGGATGAGATGTGGAAATTTGAATGTCTCCAGTAAGTTAAAATAGACCACGGCGTTTATCTAGACCCTCTTTGGCAATACCTGATGATTATCGATTGATCGATGCCATTCGAGTGTAATAAATCTCTCTAAAACGGGGCTTAATGGTACATATAGCAGTCCATAATGGGTCTTACATTCGGACTAGGCAGGTGAACGCGATAGTTTAGTCGTCAGAAGCGACAGGATCCAGTATTGCAGGCGTTATTTGGGTCGTAATCAGATGAGACAGAAGCAGGTTTGTTTTGCACCAAACTTACTCTCTCTTTCCAAATTTGGGATGGCAGAGACAGGCGTGGACATGGTGACTGGCAAAGCTTCGCAGTCAACACGTATCACCTTCTATCAAGTGGCTCCGATACAGCAGCGGCCACACATTCATTATCTGATTCCAAATTCGTATGTCGTATACAATGCTCAGGCAGGTTTTCCACGTCATATAGAAGACAGCTTCCATTAGAAAGGTCCCAATATGCCTGACCACTACTTTTTCGTAGGACTGAGATGTAGCTTAGCTCGCCAACATTTTAGCTACGATCATCGTTGCTTCAGACCTGCTGTAGTCGCGATCGCACCCACTCTCTAATCCCTCCTCCATTTATCAGTCAGTAATTCGAGGCTGAAGGCCGACTGGAAATGGGATTATGCAGGATGAAAGATTGGCGGGTCGTACAAATGTACGGCAGTTATTAAGGTTTCACAGAGACTTGTCAGTTCGACTGTCACGAGCGACGGTGTCCACTGTTTGCCCACAACAACGTAAGCCCGCAATGGCGACTTGCACGTGAATTACTTTGCCGCGGTAAGAAGCGTTAACAGCATCTGCCAAAGTTTATCACCCTCCTTGGCCCAAGCCAAAACTAAGTCATAACGACCGAGGACGGCACCGTACGCAGCGACTCGGCAATGATCAACAGCTCGTCTACTAGAGCTTCTCGCGTACCTGCCTCACCGGTTAAAGGTCACTGTCAAAACGGGGTCGAGAAGATCAGAGGCGGGGTCAGGTTCAGTGACTAGCGGAGCTAAACAGTCCGTCTACACGCGACCCGGTCCGCGCATGAGGTTTCGCTTGGATCTCATGCAAGTTGGAGCGTCATAAAGCGTTGCTATGGTGTACGAGCGCGTTCGACTATTTATAGTGTGTACTGAGGGGCCGTGGGAATGGATTGCGCAGCGTCCAACTCACTCACTCCTTCATCTCCCATGCTCCGGTCCGCTGCTTGAGCTTGTCAGCTAGAATCGCGATTACGTGGCTGACTTGCGTGAACCGGTGCCTAGGCGTGACGCCACACTATCATACGCGGATTCTGCGCAAGGCGCTTAACTTGTGGCGAACATTTATTTGACCCCTGTGTTGGTCTGCGTTACCCCCTGTAGTGGCACTTACATAGACTTAAAAGCGCACCAGAAAACGCATTACATGGATCAATGAGGCCCCGTTGTAGGCCGACGTAACAACACCTGAGGTCGCTTTACCGGAAGAGCCCGGTAAGCGCAATAGGCGTGCTATTTTAGACATCCCTTATTATTGTTGGCAGAATATGGGCTCGAGTATTCTATCACAAAACGTTTATATTCACCACTAACTTGGTGTGCGCTCGGTTCGCACCTCTTAATGAGCAAGGACAAGTAGGTGAGAATTTTGTAATTTTTTTTACCATACTGACAACACAGGTGTTATGGTGAATAAATAAACAAGTGTATACTATTGGCTGCCTTTTGGGAGTTCGGGTTATTCCGCAGTAGCTCAAATATTTCAGACCATGTCCTAAACGGTCTGATCTAAATAATTTACGCCGAGTTCGCGCACTAATATCCTCGGAAACTAAAGAGGGTGAAGCAAAACATTCTTAAATGCTGCTGTTTTAAATAATTTTGCTTCCGCGTTATCGGATATATACCAAAATCGAATGCTCCTTAGTAACTAAAATCTACTAACGTCGCTTGTTACAATCCAAATCGTCAATAAAACCTTAAAACCTTTTGTGTAATTTCGATGCAATTTTTTAATTCCGACAAGGCTATCTGGGGAGGGCTCTCTCTCGTAGAAAAAAGCTCCCCCTATCTGACATTTTACTAAATGAGAGATTACTGAAGTAAGCATCTTTACTTATGAGGTACATTCAATGCATAAAACTGTGGTGATATGTCCCTCTCTCGGCATGCGGAGTCTCGCTTGTTCGTCATATAACCAGGACGGATCTAAGTGGTTTACTGGGCCCCGGTTTAAACATCTGAGGCGCCAGAACCTGTCGATAATTTACGACTGCTCGTTCACAGCACACAAACCCAAAACGGTCATTCTAATATACTTTATTTACCGGCTACGCTTATCAGTTGTTGATTACAGTTTACCAACCCTTTATCCAGTAGGCCATTAATTCTCTACCGGAAGTGGACAGTGTTCAAGTGGTATTTCGATATATGTGATGAAAAATCAGCCCATCTTTTTGTTCACATTCTTAATATCTATTCAGAAGCTCAGAGAGATATGGTCCTTGCGCAAGCGAAAGATGAAGACCCTTTGATAACCGATAATACCCATGAAACTGCCAGATCTGCTTTCCATGACATATATCGTGGTTAATCAAGCGGGTGGCGAGATATGCGGCCTTGTTCCAGCTAGCAGTGGACGGTCGGAAACGATATTTAATCGCCTATTTGACAATTCTAGAATCTTTTGTTGACTTTAAACTCCATGGGGTTTGCAGGAGAGTCAGGCGAGATTGCAGAAATCAAGGGCTCTGGAGCTGTATCTGTAACTGACCCAGATGTGAAAAACTCAGCAGTTACATGGGCGGGATCGAGAGACTATTTCCGCATGGTTTTCGCCGTCAGCTCAAGCGACCCATTTAGGAAGCCGTTTTTGCGCCTCTTCCTCTTCTATTTCCACATCGTTTTCTTCACATAGGAAACATTTTACCATGATTTCGTTGCAAAGACCTCCTCTTTGAGCATTTGAGCACCGTTTAGATATTGTTAGATCAAACTCCGACAACATGCCGTAAAAAGCTGTTATTCACTACAGAGTCGTGGAGAGTTTCACCACTCCTAGTCTGTTGAAAATTAGCGCCATAGCAACCACCTCATGCTACCCACTTCAGCGTTTTAATCTTGTTGCTGGCATACATTGGAAAGCAGGCACCTTTAGAGACGAAAACAATATCCTTTTTAAACCCCAAGGTCACCGTTTGCTTTTCTCTTCACTCGTTTTTGCATTTGATAGTCATTTTTAAATGTTTCACAACATTCTAAAACATGACGCTAGTTCAACTTGGGCAGACAGCTGGTCTGCATATAAAACCTGAAAAATGGAGGATCCCCACTCCAAACTGTTAGGTTTGCCCATTAAGGGGTACAAATTATTGACGAGATCGAAAGTGGAAAAAGAGCATAGTACGCGAAAGAAACCGGTAGACATAGGATAAACCATAAGGACAAGCGAAGACGGATTGCTTGTTGTGATCATGACATAGAGAGCTTCGGATCCATGAAGCTAACCAGTTTTTGTCGAGACTTATGAATATGGACGTCACTGTAGTACAGGTGGTATGGTAGAAGTTAGAATAAGTGTGAAGCTTAAAGTTAAAACTAGGAATCTAGCGTATTAGCGCCTTCTCAGATTAATGTTTGTATTTTCATTCACCAAAAACACAAGTGAACCATTAAAATACTTTTGCAACGGGGAACATTTTAAGTAATACAACTTGCCGCGCATCGTTATCCGATGATTATTTAGTTACTTTGGATATCTTCTTCTAGCCGCCTTCAAAAACTACGATTTATAAAAAGCGACTGCTTTAATAAAATGGTTTTTTCTTATTGATCTCCGAAGCCTCTATCTATTTAAACATACTTTAGAAAAAACATGCACAAAAATATTCTTCCTACTTTCTGGTAGAAAACTACGCCTTCTTTAAATATATGCTTCAATAAAGAGTATTATTTTTTGAAAACCTTTTTCTATTACAAATGATTTTTTACTCGAAATAATGTTACACTGGCATTCAGGATTTTCAATCTACAAACTGAATTTTTGGTTTATGCAAAATCATGCGATTTCGTATGCTACTAAAGGGAAACCATAAATTGTGCATAAAGTTTAGCAGTGGATTTAAGCCATATTGTAAACTGTGCAAACGACATTGTTTAATGCACAGACATGATGCCTTATGAATGAACATTGCACAGTCTTAAAAAAACTTCATAATTATGAACTTTTTAATGTTAAATAACACACATTTTTTTCAGGTAAAAATTTGAAGGAGACGTAGTTTTTTACTGAATGAGCAGAAGAATGAATATTTTTCGCATGTTTTCTATGAAAAAATTGAATTTACACAATCATCAAAAATCAATGAGGAAAGGACTATACATGTTAAGTAGTCAATTTTACAGCGTATATTTTTTGTAGGCGACCTCTCAAAGCAATTGCAATTTCCTGGGATTATGCTGTACGATAGTGGATATTTCAACCCTATTTACATAATCATTCTTAGTTGAGGACGTACTTCAGAATTCCGGTTAAAATTGCGCGAGTTAGTACATCTGATATAAGTTCAGTAGATAGGCTTACCCATGAAATGCCGACCGAAATTTTCAAATGCGTGTTTGTTTCGAAAAAAGAAATTAAGTTGGGTGGTAAAACTAGTCAGCCTACAACATAATACTATACTATATCACTTACCAAAGGATGCCAGATTTTGAATGAACTTCCTTCCG